AGGTACTGGCCGGGCCTACTCTTGCAGATTTTTAATATACTTCGTGCAATATCATATTTATACTTCGGTAGAAAAAAAACAAAAGTTTGCTATACCGATGATAAAGTGTCGTAGACCTTTTTTAATTGTTATGATCTTCATTTTGGCTCAAGCCGAAATTTATTTAAGATTAGTATTGGTAAACGGCTGAAAACTCATCTAGTTTTTGAGTCTAAAATTGACTTAAGCCGGCTTTTAGTCAAATTTAGCTCGAGTGGGCTCATGACTTAGCTCAAGCCGACTATTGATTCGAAATTTTTTTATTTGTTAGCGTTGTTAAACGACTAGCCGGATTAGCCTTGAATCGGCTTGAGCCATCGGCTTGAGCTATCGGCTTGAGTCATTGGCTTGAGCTATCGAGCCGAATTTTTGGCTCAAAAACTGGCTGAGTTTTCGACTAAGCCGGCTTGGCTCAGCCATTTAACAACACTAATAAGGAGATAATATAAATTTAATTGTTGAAAAACATTTTTCCACACTAACTTGGGTAGCTGGCTTTGCCAGTATGATATCAGATTTGATGTGTTATTTATAATACTATATGTAAATAATTTATATATTAGATTTAATTTTTTTCTAGGCATTATAGTTTATAAGCTTAAAATAAAAAAAAATGTTGTAAAATATCAATATATTAAAGTTTATAAAAATTATGATTGACGTTTATCAATCAAATATGATTGACGTTTACCTATCAAATATGGACGTTTATTACTCAAATATGATTGATGTTTATCAATCAAATATGATTGACATTTATCACTCAAATATGATTGACGTTTATCAATTTTTTAGAGGTTTAGGTTCAATTTAGGTTCGATAAAAAATACCGGTTTTTAGCGGTTTAACGTTTCGGTATAGGTTCGGTTTGGATCCCTGATTCTAGGTCTTTAACCCCAATGGTATGATAAAGTAGGTCGCAAATGTAAATAGTATGGGGATCTCAGAGTTGGGCAGGTCCTCCGGAAAAAGAATCTAGATACAGATACAGATTCTTTATAAAAAAATGAATCTTAGATACAGATATTAGTATCTTTTTCTAAATATCAAAAAGATACAAGATAAAAGATACTTGTATCTTTTACTAAATTAGAGTATCTTAAATACAAGATACTTTTAAATTAATACAGTTTTTATTATTTATTTGTGAAGAACATAGCATACACATATAAGAATGAATATTTGCAATAATTAATACATATTTATTGATGAATTAATTATAATAAAGAGGGATTTTAATATTAGTTTTTGCCCATTAATAGCTAAAACAGGGAGAGTAATATATTTAATGGGAGTTGAAAATTTGCAAATAAGAAGAAAAAAAAAATTAAATCAAAGGATTTATTAGAATTTGCAGGTTTTTTCTGTGTTGTTTTAAATATAGCTTATATTCGGAGTATATGGCTAATTATCATCTCTAAAAAAATATACTAGTTTTATTTTATTCATTATCTTTAATAAGTATTTATCATTACTTGTTTGTGATACTTATGTGTTTTTTAAATTAGTTTTATTTTCTAATATTATTTATTAATTCTTGCTTTCGTAATATCATATATATAAATATCATTTAAATCTCTTTTCAAATTTTTTTTAAATATTTCTTGCAAAATCATTAATTATATATAAAAAATATGAAAATAATGTACAACATTATATTATTTAATTATTAAATACATAAAAATTTTCTTTAATGCATTTTAAATTGATTAAATTTTGTAAATAAATACTGTAATGTAATTTCTCATATCATAAATAAATAAAAGTAACTAATAAAGTTAAATTCTACCTTATTATATTTATTTTATTAAGAGCCTTTTAAAATTATCTAATGTTATATATCATTTGTAGCTTAAATATTTCCTCTAATAAGAACTTGCTAAAATAATTATATAAAAATATATTAGGGATGTGCCGATATTTTTTATCGGATTGGGCCAATACTTAGCCCATTTTAAAATATCGGTTATCGGCCAATATTATAAAATTTGATCCGATATAAAATGGCTTCTTTAACAAAAATAAAATGTTATAAAATTAAAAAAAAAGTTATATCTAAACTCTATTATTTTTATAAATAAAATCGAAATCCATTTTATGTATTTTTTTAATAATAATAATTAATTAATAAACATTCTGCCATATTGTTATTTTTTTTTGCGCATTCTGTTTATAAAAGTGTGCGATAATCTCTTCAGAATCTTTTTTAGTAAATCTGGTGATATTGATAGTTACTATCGCCGCAAGCTGACCTCTGATAAATTGGAAATATTGGTATTTCTAAAAAAAATCTTCGATATAATTAATGTTAAATATTATTTTAAATATTTATCTCAAATTCCATAATATAATTGTTAATTACTTATTATGTATATAGATTAATGTTATTACTTATTATATAAAAGTGATTTAACAATAAAAATATTTTATATACATTTAGAATTGCAATTGAATTGAATATATAAACTATAACTGATCATTATAATTGTTGTAATATGTGTTTTAATATTCAAATCTACTTTTAAACAAAATCAAGAAAAACGAAGTAATATTCAAATCTACTTTTGAAAAACGAAACAACAAAATTATGATTTTTCGAACATAATTTTTAATCTTTTAATTTTAATTTTTCTTATATTATTTTATTTTATTTTTTAATTTTTTTCTTATAATTTTACTTTTATTTAATAATTAGTATTTATAGTTTATGATTATGAATAAAATTTTAAAATCTTAAAATATTTTCTCAACTACAACTTCTCAACCACAACAATCCCTTTCACTTAGATTAGACCCCACCTTCTGCGACTAACGATTGTTTCACGAATTCTTGTTTCTAAGATCATCGATTTTATACCCTATACTAAAGTTTTGACAAGCAATTGGCGATAATTTGTCAACGATTAACGATTGCTTACTGGTCTTGACCCCTTGTTCTACCTAGTCGCTTGTCAAGATATCGACTTTATCTCGATCTCTTATACGATAATGATTTCTTGTATCTTTTGATCCAAAATAAAAATCCGATATCTACACGAGCTTGATTGCGGCATGAATTTTCTAATGAATAAAGCCATTTCTCTTCTTGAAGATTTTGGTTAATCAACAACCTAATATTTTGCTAAATATTATCAACTTAAATAACAGTTAAACGTGTATCTTTAATAAAAATTATAAAGAATTTCTTTTAGCTAAAACGATCACTTGTATGTATAACGATCTCTTGAGACGAATTCCTTTTAACCAAATGACTAATTCTATTCTTTTTCGAATTACGCCCTTTGATATTGATACCATTGTTTCTTTGCTTTCATCCTTTGTCTTAGTGTCGATAGTCATTTCATATATCACATCCCCCTTTATTTAGAATATCTTTTCAGAGTTAATTAGACTGAATTGGAGAACCTGGTTGATTTGTCTTCGGACCATTATTGTTGGTTGAGAAGTTATAGTTGGTTGAGAAGTTGTAGTTGAGAAAATATTTTAAGATTTTTAAATTTTATTCATAATCATAAACTATAAATACTAATTATCAAATAAAAGTAAAAGTAAAAGTAAAAATTATAAGAGAAAAATTAAAAAATTAATTAAAGAAAACTTAAAAGTAAAAGATAAAATTTATGTACAAAAAATCATATTTCGTAACAAATAAAAATATCCTCGATTATATATCCTTTTCTATAATATTCATTTACATCTTCTGAACTCAAATTAATTTGTTTTGTTTTTCTGTTTAAAAGTAGATTTGAATATTACTTCGTTTTTCTTGAATTTGTTTAAAAGTTGATTATATTAAAACACATATTACAACAATAATATATTTAAATGACATAAGTTATGGTATAGTTAAATTATAGATGTTATACAAATAAAAAGTATATTAAAAATTAAAATGGTATCTTTACAGAATACAAAATTAGATATGATATAGGATCGGTAATCGGCCGATATCAATTTAATATCGGATCGGCCTCCAAAAAGTGGTATCGGTACACCCCTAAAAAATATATATCCAAAATGATTTTAATTTGACAATCAACCATCTTCTATAAAAAATTTTAATAACAATTATCTAAGAGGGACTTAAGTATAGGTATTATTATGTTAATAATTATAAAATAAAAATGTATAATATACTTTAATATGTTTAACAAAGTTTGTGTTGAACCTTTAATAACTTTTTTTACTAGTGCAATTTATACATTCAGTTTGTACCTTGTCCTTTTTCACATGAATTACTTTATAAAATTTTCTATCTAAAATTTTAAGATTCAGATTTGATTCAGTAGAACCTATCTCCATAATTTCATCTTCACTACCATGAATGTTAAACATTCTACAAATTAAAAAATATTACATATATAATATATCCTTTACTTATTTAGTTTTGGTGTTGTTATTTTTAATCTATCTATCTTTGTGACATGTAAAATTTTCAACTAATTTTGGATATCAATATATTTAAAATATAGCGGGAAAAAATAAAATAAATAATGCAAGATCTCACGAAGAAAATAAAGTTAATTGTGTGATATGTAAATGTTTTAAATATGAATATTAAAAAGAATCTGTATCTGTATCTTTTTAAAGAAAATGAAAAAGATACAAGATTCTTTTCAAAATAAAGGATCTTAGATACAGATACTAGTATCTTATTAAAAATGTCAATAAGATACTGAGTACAAAATACAAAAGGATCTTGTATCTTGTATCTTAGATACAAGTATTCGCGGTACTGCCCAGGGATCTTAATTATTTCAAAAGAGAACATTCTTCCATAAATATTTTAATAAAAATTTTGATTTTTATCTTTATATATCGAATTATTTATGTTATGCAAAAATAATTGTGATACCAATATGATACAATTTTCTGAAAATTTTCCCAACCCTAGTTAATGGTATAATTATTGTAAAAACTTGTAATCGTTAACCATATCATATCATTCACTCTATTTTCGAATAAGATATTTTTTTTTTCGCTTTTAAATGAAATGAATATTTTGCAATCATATGCGAGTGATCATTCTGATGAAAATGAAGGACTACAAGAAAATAAGAAAAAACTTAATTATTTCGAAATATCTAGGTAAACATATATGATTTTTTTAAATCGTGATTAGTGAAGAAGAAAACTTTGATCAAAATGTAGATTATGCCATACCAGCTAAAATAAGAAACTTTGAGCATAAAAAAGGAAATTGGGCCTCATATGTTTACTCTCCTTGTAAACTATTTAACACCTATTTTCTAAAATATATTAGTTAATATAAATATAGGACAAAATTTAATTGACCAAATTAATAGAAATTTAATGAATGTTCAATTTTTTGTCATGGATCACCCTTTACATATAAGCCTTTCAAACACTTTTGTGCTGAAACATCATTGGATTAATTTATTTTTGGAAGAATTACGAAATAAAATTGGGAAGTGTGACAGGTATATTCCTAATATTATTATCAATATAATATAATAAAAATAATCATATACAAGATTTTCTTGTACCTTAGGTGAGTTGCAAATATATGAAAATGAAGAAAAGACAAGGTTAATAATATAATTACACAATTATATTCATTAATAAAGGAATTTTATAGGTATTAACATTAAATCAGGAAACATTGAATTGAAACATTTGTCAGATTTAGTAATAAATATATTAGCCAAATATAATATTACATCTGATATTTATAAAGTATAAAGTTTGGATATTTGATTTAAATAAAATCATTTTAGGATCCTTCTTTCCATGTAAGTATTTGTTGGATGTTAAATAATAGTTCTGGAAATTTTACAGCATTTCAATTCTCAGAGATCAAAGTTATTATATAATTTTAGAGTTTATGTTCTACTTAGTTTTTAGAAAATATTGAGTCCTTATTTTTATAATGAAGTTATTGAAATTCAATGCTTAAGATTTAAAACTGGCAACAAAATATATGATATTAAACTAAAATCATGAATATATAATTATAATTGTATTAATAAAATATGATATAAAATGTTTTAAATTTGAGATTTACTTTTATAAATTTTGATAAATATACATCCCTTGACAGTTCAATCAAAAACAAGATTATTATACAACTTTTTTTTTAATAAATAAAACTTGATATGATAGTTATTTATGATTAATGATGTCTCTGAATGATCATGTTTTTGCTAAACCTAACCTAAACCTCTCTTAAAAGTTAAGGGTTTAAGGAATAAAAGAAAAATTAGAAATTTCTTAAAATATTTAAAAAATCACAAAAAATAGTTTTTTCTTGTGCCATTTTCTTCACATTTTCAATTTTTTGCCTACATTTTATAGGTAAAAATTTTATTATAATTTAAGTATGTTATAAATAAATATAATTAAAATATGTTACTTACCTTGTTTTTGTATCAATGTTAGAAAGTAAAATATTGAGACAAAACATGTAATCAATAAAGTAAAATAAAATAAATCCAATTTTTCTAGAATTAATTGAATATCTAGTAAATATTTTGTCAATAGTTAATTTAGACCAATGTAGTACCAGCTTTTTCTTCGATGAAAAACATATTGCCAGTCTTAGAAATCTTAAAAAGGATATTTTGGAACATATTATGATTGTTTGATTGAATAAAATATAAATTTATTTTATAATTTTTTGCTAGTATATTATGTTTATGAAATGTATGGTGTGGTATAATAAATAAATAAATTTTAAAAAAATTATGTTATTTAGCTTGGCATTTGCACTTTACCTTAGCATTTGCAGTTTAGTCAAACTCTTTATTTTTTGCGTTTTAGTGTCCAATATATATTTTTTATATATTAAGTTATTTAATCTTTTAAATAAGCAGGTTTTTGCTTAATACATGTTGGTCTAGAAATCGGTATTACTTTGTATTTATTTGTGGTATTTTTATTTATGTCCACACTTCCCTCCTTAAAAAATTTTTTAGAGCTAGTATCATTATATAAAAATGTATTATAACATTCTCTTTAATTGATCTAAATGTCTCCTTAATATACCTTTATCTGTCTTAACTTGGAACATCATGTCACTTTCTTTATGTGTGACCATGCCTTTCCATCATTTGTCATCCCCTTGTATTTTGCACAAAACAAAATCTCCTACATTAAAGGTTCTATTGCGTGATAATGGTATGTTTACTCTATCCTCCTTCCTCCAACTGTTTTAATAAGTATTTAATTCAATGTCGCAATTGAACATTCTTTTGGAAGGTGTAACTCCTGTTGCATCATTTTGTGCATTTCAATAGTGCAATATCTAAGACAATCTTTATAATTATTTATTTTCATATGTGCCTTTCACCATACGTTCTACTTGTCCATTAAACTGCTGGTGGTATGCAGACGTAAGTAAATGTTTAATACCATAATCGTTGCAAAATTTCTCAAAATCCTTGTAAAGTTGGTACCATTATCAATAACTATGGTTTCAGGGATTTCGAATAGCGAAATAATTTTAAAAATTTTCTTCTATTGTCATTTCGGGTGTAATATTTATGACAGGAACATTAATTGGAAATTTACTGTAGGCATCGACCATTATCAACCAATTTTTTGTGAAAAACGGACCCGTATAAACTATGTTATGTGTATCCTTTCAAATGGTTTGGTTGCCGAAACCCATGATTTTTCTATATTTTTAGGATTGTCTTGATATATATTACAGTCGTCACATTACTTACATTTCTATGTCAATCATACCAGACTACCACATATGATCTTTGGCTAAGGATTTGATTTTACCTGCTCCCAAATGAGATTCATGTAATGCCTGCAGTATGTTTTTTATCATACTGGATGGAATTATGATTTTGTTGTTTTCGTAAAGTCAATCTTTAATTATACTGAATTCTAGTGCTGTGAAGTAACATCAAAAAAGTAACGTCGTTTTTTTGAAAAGGAACGCCATTTGTTACATTCTTCTAGAGGTAACGAGTAACCGTAACGCGTTTCTTTTTTTTGAGTAACGGTAACGCAAAACGTTACTCGTTAATTTATATTTTTCCTTAAAAAATATCAACAAATAGAAAAACATATTTTAATGTATTATAAAATTACTTTTATTCATTTTTTAATATTTAATATAAATAATTTAATCCGAGTTTTAATTCATATCAACCACTGCCTTCATTTTTATTTTAAATTCTCGTTGTTAAATTTTCTGTCGAAAATAATATTCAATCGAAATTCAAAGTAAATGTTAATAATGATATTATTATTCTTATAATTTATTTTAAGAATATTATGTCCATATTACATACTTCTTCAGATGAAGATGATATAACTCTCCCCTGGCCCCAATTTGAAATATATTTTAAACCAATAAAGAAAATTGATGGTACTAAGTCTACACTTTGGAAATGTAAAATATATCCCAACACAAATATTTCAACCTCAATGTCCAACAGTTCAAACATAAAAAAGCATTTGAAGGTAAAAAGATAAAATTTTAAATATTACTTTAATAATAGAATAATACTTTGAAAAGCTTAATCATGGAATTAAAATATAAGGAGAGCTATGTCAATATTAAATATTGGATCAGATCGGCACCGATATTTAGAATTTCCCAAAAATATCGGATTGGGCCGATACTTATAAAAACAGATCCGATCTTTTTACTTTTCTTTTTTTTGTTATATTATTATATGTATATTTATTTTACATTATTATAATATTTTCTAAATAATTTTTTTTAAACAATGCAAATGCACAACATCCTTTAAATTTTATTCTTTTTTAAAATATAGTATTTTAAAAGTTTTTTTTATTAAAATAGAAAGGAACACCTAAAGTTTTAATTATTTTAAATCTTTTTAAATAATAACGCCAATTTTATTAATTATACTTTAAATAAAAGAATATTTTTAAATATGGTATCTGAATTATGGAAATATTTTACAAAAGACAAAGATAATTTTGCAAAATGCGTTATCTGTGGAATCATCTGAGTTTAACTTCAGTACAGCAGGATATATAGATGATCCATATCGAAGAAACTTATTGCCAGAAAATCTAGAGGCTCTTGTATTTATTTTAAAAAATCTAATATACTATAATTTTATATATTAAATACAATTTTATAATTCATACCAACATAAAATGCATATATTATAAAATATATGTTTTTTAAATTATGGTCTTAATTGTAGAAATAAAAAAAATTAAATTAAATACATAATTTGATATTTTGCATAAAAAATATTGATTTCTTAATTACATTTGGTTCAATATAAATATCGGATCGGTATCAGTATCGCATCAGTTTTGGAGCAATATCGGATGGGATTGGTGAAAATATGTGGATCGACACAGCCCAATATAAGCAATTAGATTATACTTATTGTGCTGGAAACCAACATTAAAAACCCAAAATTAACAAAAATTGGTGTTGGTTCAAAGTATTATATTGAGTTTTTTATATCTTTTATTTCTTGTTTTAGTATTGCTATTGGTTTGAATATAATTGTTAATAAATTTAAAGAATAAAAAATAGTGATTTAAAAAAACTTTGTTTAAATAATAAATAAATATGAAAGAGTGGCGTAGCCAGGATTTATCCAATAACAAAATTTTACAGAGAATTTCATTATAGATTTTATTTATTATTAAAATACTATATATAACATCCCATTATTTAACCAGCTGTCTTGCACTAAGCGCTCTTGTTTGTCTGATAAAAATTTTGAAATCAATTGTTGCTAAAAATAAATAAAAAATTGTTACGTTTATTTGTATAATTTTATTTATATTATAATTAAATATATGAATATTTTTTTTATAAAACGGTCTTATATATTCTTTTTGTATAGTTTTATTTTATTTTATATTGTCGGAAAAAAATAAATATTATTTTTGTATATTTAATTTTTTTAAGTAACGAGTAGCCCGTTACTCTTTTGAAAAGTCAGTAACGCACGTTCCTTTTTTGAAAAGGTAACGAGTAACTGTAACGCGTTCCTTTTTTCAGATGTAACGAGTAACGGTAAGGCGTTTCTTTTTTGTAGTAACGTTTACAACACTACAATTATTATATTTTATAGTATAATTTAAATTTCATATTCGTTATCATCTTATCTTTGAGGTCTCATATTTGGACATTTCTCTCTGTTCCTAATCATATTAACAAGACGGTCATCTGTTCGTCCTCGCCGTCTGGATGGTTATCTGTTTTACTTAATTCCAATTCAATGTATTTATAAATTTATTTTTTATAGGCTCGTTGTTCTTAATATCATTGATGACTTGTGTTATTTCAATATCTTTGTAAATTTCGTCACGTATTTTATTAAAATTAATAGGTATATCCCCAAAGTCGTTTGTAATTGTGGTATTTTCAACAACTTCATCGTTACTTATAATAATTTTGAGAGACAATCAGGATCAACGTCATATTTTTCGGCTTTATACTTTATGTTGAAATCATAACCTAATGTTATATTCCATTTTTGATGTTTTAAGGACATAGTACTGTTGTCCTTAAGTCCTTTGGTAAAAATATGGACTAGAAGTTTATGGTCAGTAATTATTGTAAATTTAGTGCCTATTAAGTATTCCTGGAATCTCTTTATAGCGAACATAATTTGAGAGCCTCACGCTCAATATTGGTGTAATTCATTTCGGATTTTAATAAGGTTCTCAACGCAAAAGCTATGGTTTTTCTTAGCCGTCTTTTTTAGTATGAAATAATACAGCTCCTAAACATCTCCATCGGCAATTCCGATAGGTAATTCAGGGTTAATATAAGTCAAAGCTGGAGGAAGACTAATAAACGTCTTTAGATCATTAAAACTTCTAAAGTGTTTTAAGTTCCATGCCTATTTTTCTTTGTTGACAATTTTGTATAAAGGATCAGCAATTTCTGCAAAGTTGTTCAAAAATTTCCTATAGTAATCAACCATTCCCAGATGTTGATAATTCAGCAGCTGATTTTGGTTCTGGCATATTTATTGTTGCTTCAATTTTGTCATGGTTAGCATGAATCCCCTTGAAGTCAATATCATAATCCAGGAACCTCACTTTGTTTTTAAAACTAAGCTTTTGGCAAAATTAGGTACTAACCCATACGATAATATTCTTTTCAAACACTTTTTTGATGTTGTTTAAGTGAGCTTCATCGTTATTTCCAGTTATAATTAAATTATCAATATAAAATATGACATATTTCATATCACCAAATATTTGATCCACGATTTGTTGAAATATTGGAAATGAGTTCTTTAGCTCAAAAGGAAATCTAGTGAATTGGTAGTATGCCTTGTGTGTGGATATAGTCAAGAGATTTCTGCAACTTTTATCATTCGGAATCTGTAGAAAGGCATTTTTAAAATCGATTTTGGTAAATTTATTTCCTCCCTAAAGTTTAGCTATTAGATCATTTATTCGTGGAAGTGTATATAAAATGTTTATAGTGTCTTTAAAATCAGCGCAAACCTGTGTACCCATCATCTTTGTAGATGACGGTTATAGGATTTTCTCATCGAACATCTTTTATCGGCTCAATAATTTTTTCTTATATCCATCTATTAAGTTCTTTGCCCACAAGATCACTCTTTGCATAGGGTATACGTCTTGGTGGTATAATTTTGGGTTGGGCATCTCTTCTTAAATGTAATTTGTCATTTGCTTTGTTAATTATTTTGTTGGTCAATTTGGATTCACAATCTTTAATTAGTTTTTAATTTCATCTTCATAATTGGTGTCATATTTGCTATAAATTTGTTCAAAATATTTTTGAAGGCGTTAATCCGTGTACGTCCTAATACAGCATTTTTTCTTGATTCTACAAACACTACTTGTAAATATTTTGTGATATCTTCATAACTTACTTTTACTTGAGTTAATCCCTTCAATCTTAATTAAGTTTCCGTCGTAGGCTGTAAGTTGCTGCTTGGATTTTTTAATTTCTTTTATGCCATTTTTCATAGCCATCTCATGAGATAAGATAGTGAATTTAGATCCTGTATCGACCTCCATTGTTGTAGTAACATCATTTAATTTTAGAGTAGTCATAAAAACATTATCATTAAGCATGTTCTCAGTTAAGTTGTTGATATTAAAATCATTTTCATTATTGTCTTTTGCAGTGTCAACTTTGTCTGCAATAATTTCTTCAATATTCATGTTGCAATTGTTATTGTTATATTGAATCTGGTCATCATATTGTATTTGATTTCTCGTTGTTATCATGCCACCTGTTGTTTTCTCCATAGTTATCTGAGTTGTAATTATAGGATCGGTAAATATTGCAATTTTGATCATCGTATTGAATCTGTTTCCTATGGTTATTATTACACCATTTGTTGTTTCTACAGTTATTTGATTTGCTATTAGATTGATAATTGTTGTTATCGTAATAGTTTCTAAGTTGCTGTTGTTATAATTGTTACTGTTTCTAAGATTACTACTATTGTCATAATATCTAAAATTGTTATTATCGTAATTCATATTCCTATTCCTAATTATAATTATATCTATTGTCATAATTTTGTCTAAAATTATCATTAGGTCTATTGTAATTTTTGTTATCTCATTCCTACAATTATACCTAGGAAAAGTATTATCAAAAGTATTTTGGTTACTTGAAGATTTATCTAAATTCTTATGTTCATTATTTTAATTATTAACATCTCTATTTTTATTAAGTTTTTTATCATTACTCACATAATTTATATTACCATTAACCGATTTAATTTTAACGCTATCTCATTTTCTTTCTATTTCTACCATTCCACCTAAATTTTAATTATCATTTTTACTTAGATTATGTTTAATGTTGTCATTTAAAGTAGTTTTTTATTAATTCACTTATCATCAGGAAATGCGCATTGTCTACTAAGTTTGGATCAATGACATATTATCAGAATCAGTGGTGAATCTATTAAAAATATCATAATTTTATATAAAAATATTAATTTACCTTGAATTTTATTAAATTATTTGAGCCAAACTTGTATATTGAATAATTTGATATCAGAATCAGTGGTCAATCTATTTAAAATATCATATAATTTTATTTAAAAATATTATTTTACCATTTGAAAGAATAATGGTTGAATTGTATATGTTTGTAATTGGCGGGAAAAAAAAGGGGGTTGCACGCAACCTTTGCGCAATAATACAGGGTTGACCATATGCAGATTCTTCAATGCATGAATGAGATCGATACCTTTTTTTGGAAAAATTCGTCAGAAAATGCTCTTTCCATTAATAATTTTTTAAATTCTAATGATGATTCAGTGAATATTTTTAATAATTATGTTAATTTAAAAAAAAACATTGAATATAACACACCTTTACCAGCAAGCGCTCCTGTGGAACGCTTGTTTAGTAAAGCTAAACATGTATGAAAAATGTGGTTGTTTAAATGTAATTTAATTATAAATAAATATATTTTAATTGTTTTACTTATATTATATTATTAAATTACAATAAATTTATACCATATATAATTAATTTTTATATTAGTTAATTTTGCATTGATCAGAAATTTTAATAAGAAAAGGATCGTGATCGCGATCCTTTTTTTAATAAAAGGTCGATCCTGGATTTCGATCATTTTTTTTCTCGAAAATCGTGCGTGATCGGGATTCGAACTTTTTAAAAAAATTGATTAACAAGCCTGATAATACATTTTTAGGGGACAGGGGGTGGAAAGAGAACTAAGGAGAATATTTTTATTAGCTTAAAATGATATTCACAAAAAGTGATAAATTTTTGAAGGGGGGGGGGATTTTCCCTTGTCCCCTCCTTGGCTACGCCTATGCAGTAGGTACTAAATATCTAAGTTTTTTTTATTATTTAAAGCCCAAAATTTTAGTATCTGAGATAGATCTAATTTTGTCGTACACATAATCTGTTAAATTATAAAGTATTATATCAATCTTAACAGAGTTAGATGATGTGTTGTTCGCAAAGTAATTAAATACTCCGTCAATATATGAATTAATTATCCCCATTTAATTTGGGAAATTTGTATGGAAGCTCTGTGATGGCTTAAGTTTATCGTTCAAAACGTTTGTTTAATATATTTTCATAGCAAATATTTTGATGGTGTTTTAAAATAAATACATTTCAGTCTAGATTTTAACAAATATACATAACACTTCTAGAAATTCTGTTTCGTTGTAAATATAGAATTTTCCATTTAAAGATTCATAACATCTCAACATATCTTTCAAACTATGGAATTGGAAAAATATGTCGCCAGAATTAGGTACACGAAAATAATCTACATTAAGGATTCCCTTTAACTCGTCGTGGGAATGTTCAAAATTTTAAAAACGTACATCGAAACAAATAATATGAAAAATATTTTTTTTTGACCTTCTTATATAGAATTTTTTATGTTACGAAAAATATTTGTGAAACAGATGAGTATTTTTTTTATCAGTTCATCCTCACTAGGGGCAACATGTAAAGAGGACTTTATTTTTACATCATTATATTATTTCATAAATTCTATCTCTATTTATAAAATATCGCTGGTATAACACAAAACAAAAATTTATAATTTGAATAAAGGACAAAGAACTGAATCATCAATTTAGTCAGCGCGTGACAAGATTGAAAAGTACTATGTAAGATGACATAAATGCATTTTACAAATTGTTGCCTAAATAATATTTATAACTATAAATTTTTCTTTGTCTGCTCAGGTATGGAGGTAAAAGTAGTTATCAAAGGCCTGGAGACTCCACTAGCTTGAAGCGCCAATAAAATATCGTTTGTTTAAATAATCTATTCTTGACCTCACATCAATTGTTAAATCAAGTGACTGGTAACGTTAACCTTTTTTATGATAGATTAAGTAAGTTCAGATTATCCAATATGTTTTGAGAGTTATGTATTTTACAATCGGTAAATTGTTAAAAATCAAATCTAGTATTATCTTAAAAGTAAATAATTACAATCATCTGAGTTAACATATGACATTATAGGTTTACATATCCAAACAATTCGGCCTTTTTATTGATATTGATGGGGTAGTTACTCGAGGTAGAGATGTACTTCCTCCTGCTAAAAAAGCTTTTGAAACTATGATTGATTCTTCTAAATTATTAAACCAACCATTGGTATTTCTAACAAATTCAGGTACAAGTTCTACAGAAGAAAAATCTAATTATTTAACTAAACTTTTGGATATTCATGTACTTTTATTTACTAGTTGAACTCTAAATTAATTTTAAAATGTTAATATCAGGTTAACCCATCACAAATTATAATGAGTTATAGACCATTGGATTTATTCAAAAAATTTTCTACCAAAAATACACTTATTTCTGGACAAGGGCCTATTGAAAACATTGCAACTATGTTTAAAATGTTAATTTCTGTTAATTTTAAGTATTTTTATAGAATGGGTATTAAGAACCTGATTACAATTGAACAACTCTCAAAATCATATCCATTATTAGATATGATGGCAAATGCAAGACGAGAAATTATAGTATTTAAAATATATTTATATTTTTTGTCAGGCCACTAAGAAACTGACTTTCTTTTTACCTAACTTAAAATATAGCCTAATTTCTTAATACTCACTATTTTTTTCCCCATATATTAATATTTTTTTTAAATATAATATGATAACCTAAAAATGTAATAGACTTATAGCAAGAATTGGTAATTTTTTAAATATCACAAATGCTTCAAAGTTTACTTAATCAATATACTGCTTATGCCAAATATTAGGAGTGTACCGTACTACTTTTTGGAAGCCGATCCAATATTCCCAATATTAAATTGATATCGACCGATTACCGATTAGATATCATTCTAATTTTGTATCCTGTAAAGATACCAATGGTTTTTTTAATTTTTATAGGCATGTACCGATATTATATATCGGATTGGGCCAATATTTCACCCATTTTAAAATACCGGTTATCGGCCTATATAAAATTTTCTGATCATTTATTATTTTTGTGCATTCTGTTTATAAAAGTGTGCAATAATCTCTTCAGAATCTTTTGTGAAGCTGGTGATATTGACAGTTACCATTGCCGCAGACTGACCTCTGATAAATTTGATATTTTGGTTTATCTAAAAAGAAACCTTCTATTTATTAATGTTAAATATTATTTTAATTATATATTTCAAATTTCATAACATATTTGTTTATTACTTATTATGTATATAGATTAATGTTATATAAAGTGATTTAATAATAAAAATATTTTATATACTTTTAAAATTACAATTGAATTGAATTGAATATAAACTATAACTGATCATTATAATATATTTAAATGACATAGGTTATGGTATAGTTAAATTTCATATCACTTATTTATATAATAAGTAATAACATTAATCTATTTACATATTAAGCAATAAACAAATATACTATGAAATTTGAAATAAATATTTAAATATATCTAAGATTTCTTTTTAGAAATACAAAAATTTCCAATTTATCAGAGGTCAGTCTGCAGCAATGGGGACTGTCAATTTCACTAAAAACAGATTCTGAAGAGATTATCACACACTTTTATAAACATATTGCCCAAAAAATAACAATATGACACAATGTTTATTAATATTATTAAAAAATTAAACATAAAAATTATTTATAAAAATAAATTGTTTTTTAGATATAACTTTTTATAATATTTTATTTTTTGTTAAAAACGCCATTTTTTATCAGATCGGGGAAAATTATATAATATTTGCCGATAACCGATATTTAAAATGGATGAAATATCGGCCCGATCCGATAAAAATATTGGTACATCCCTACCAAAGATGTTTATTTCTTACAGTTTAAATTTTTAACATTATTGCAAGGTTAAATAACCAATCAATTCAAAATAAACCAAATTTATAAAAATATAACTCCTCCACCATTCTTTCATATTATTACAAGATTATTTGTCTTATGACAACAGATGCTATCTTATTAATTAATTATGATTTCCTATTGACATATTTTATTTTTGAATATTGGACTTATTTGGGCAATATCTGAAAATGTTAAACACCCTATTTTCTGATGTCACATATTAGTGGAATATTTGAAATAAATACTTAAGAAGATTTAAGTATCAATTGTCAGAGTTGGACAGTAATACCAATAATTGACTTTCTATTTTATTTAAAATTTCTAATAACATACTTATATTTGTGTACTTATTTAAACAAATTTTGCCTCTATTTAATTTCCTTGTCAAAAGACAGGTACCCTTTTTTTATACCTTTTAAAATTTGATATTTATTTTTAACATTATATTTTTCATGGATTCTTGTATTGATTTCATTGGTTTATTTTTGTCTTATCTTTATATTTTAAAATTGATATTCTTTATTATTTTGGGCACACCAACTATATTGTTATATTATTTATTGTCCATATATTAGTCATTGTAGTAAAATAATTATTTTCTTAGTTAGTGGGGTGGAATAAATTTATTTATTTATATTTCAATGTTAACATTTTGGATTGTCCTAAATAGTAGAATAGAAGTAGTATTTGGTTGATTTCAATTTGTTGATTGCTAAATTTTTTTTATAATGTATGCTTTTTAATTATATTTATATAAATAATATCAAAATAATATTTTATTATAGTTATTTAAGTACGTGTTTGTGGAAAAAATTCTATATATGATTCACAACAATTTGGGATAGTTCTTTTCTTTTGAAAAGATACACCACTGAATTCATTTATTTGGAATTGATCTAAGCTCATTGAAGCAATAAATATATATTGATTTCTCTATATACATCTGTCTTTTTCCATTCTTATTGTTGGGTAACACCATCCTTTATGACAGTTGTAGGAAATCCATATGGATATATTTTTTATAAAGTACATGTATTTAAGATAATCTTATTTAGCACAAAATACAAATGTATTGTATCTTTTTGATATTTATATTTTTTAATAAAATACTTGTATCTATCTATATCTAAGATTTTTTTTTATAAAGAAACTGTATTCCCTGCCCAACTCTGTAGGTTATTCAATGTGAAAGAAATTATTGAACAGTAGAATGTTAATATACAGCAGGGTTCTGGATCCAACAAAAATTTTACAAGGTTTGGTGTGGGTTCATTTTACCTTTTTTATAAAAAGGGGGGGGGGGGGTTCGATATTGTTGCAAGTTTGGAAATTTAAAAAATTATTTTCAGAGAGATTCGGGTTCAAATTAAATCATCAATCAAATAGAATGAGGTATCAGTTTATTTTGTATAAATAATAATAAAAAACGCTTTTAATATCTAATTTATTAGAGGTGTTGAGGCGAGAATATTCCCGAGAATATTGAAAAGGATAATTCCCAATTTTTTAAATATAAATTTCCCAAAATATATACTAGAAAATTCCAGGGAATTTTGCACCCTTAATTTTTATTACATGAAATTATATTGTCAAAAAATTTGAAAAATGCTAAACAAACAGTGGCCCCTACACTTTCTGAGGGGAAGCGAATATCCCCTAAAGTACTCCAAAAGGACAGTTAATTATTTATTATCTTCGGAAGTGCATTACGTAGTAGGAATGGTTAATAAATATTTATATAAAATTGATAAATTAAGGAAAGCAGAAAATTATTTAAAGTAAACGATAAGGTAAATTAAACGAATTCCAGTCTGAATCATAAGTCTCAAAATTATCATCATCATCACTAGAAGAAGCTAAATAATGTATTAATATAAATATTTTCTATAATTCTCAGAATTTGACCAATCTTTCGATTCTTTAACCTACAGGTCATGTATAATAATGACATCCCTCGTTTTAGTCATAATATAAATATTTCGAAACGTAGACATTTTTTTTGAATTTAAAGGGTAAAATTGGCAGATATCTTCAATGTCATCCTTAACGGATTTTTCCGCCACGACCTTAGGTATAAAAAATTAGGTTTTTAAAAATTTCATTGCTCGTCTCGAACATTTTTTTAAAAATAAATCGAGTTTGGGCTGAGGCGGGCCTAATATTTAAAAAAAATATTCTAGCCGGGTCGGGTTTTGGAAATTTTTTAATACATCTAAATTTATCAATTTTATGTTGAATTTTTAATGTAAAATAAAAACATTATAGAAACTAGACGCTATATAACATATATCATTTATTTTGAGTAATTATAAAAATTAATTTCTATATTTTAATAAATTCGGGTCGGGCCGGTAATGTTTTTAAAAAAATTCGGGCCGGGCTTGAAAAATTAGGCCCGATGCAGATCATTAATTTAAATTTTACTTCTCAAATTAATCAGACATATCCTTCGAAATGGTTCGCAATTTTATACAAGCAATGCTTGTTATCAACAATATTTTATCCAAAACACAAAGTGTTAAAATAAAATTAAATTTTTTTATTCTAAGAACAATAGCACTAGCCATGGTAGAAGTGGCAGAATCCTTTAAATTTGTCAAAACTGCCCTTAACGTATTATATAGTTAAAAAATATTTACAATAGTTTTCTTTATATGATATAACCAGCTTCTATAAATATAAAATAGCATTTTAAATCTAAACAAATACGATAATATTACCGAGTGGTATTCTTGATGCGTAAAAATCATTGCGATTTTGTCAGTACATCACTCTGACATGCTTTGAGCACTGCATATATTTACACCATTGAAATACACATGAATCTCGTCTAATAGTCCGTACAAATTTAGCTAACGCAGCGTTTCAAAACGTAAATAATACATTTTAAATGCATTCGTTTAAATTGGACAGCATTTTTTTAGTTTTAAATGTAAACGTTTCATATTAAAAAATAATAATTAACGGTTTTCAATTTAAACATACCTGCTTTTACGTTTTTTATTTGCATTTTGAAATGCTATGTTAAAACGTTCAATTTGTGCGCACTATAAGATATCTAGAACATTTCTTAGTTCCTTTAGCAATTGGCATAATTGAACAATGAGATTTAATCATGACAATAGCACCAAATAAAAGCTCCTTCGAGGTTTCAGCTCTAATTAAAGCCTGTACTCCTATCATCCTTCCTTTCAAATTTGAAGCATTATAATACCTTTGCTTAACTAAGAATTCGAGGGGTAGATTCATGGAACTAAATTTGCATATTATATTTTTTTTAAATCAAGACCATTCGTTTTACCATTTTCAATATATCTTAATAACAAAACTATTGCTTATGATTTCGAATCATATGGTACCATCAACTATAATTGAACCTATTAAATTCAATCTCTTTTTAAATTTTTCTATAACCATATTTTCCATGGTTTCAATGAGAATATTTGTATTATACGACAATATATTAAAATATAATTTGGATTATAATCCTTTTTGTTTTTTCTCCCTTCTTTTTTCTTCTATTTTTGAGTATACAATTTGTGGACAGGTCCGAATCTGCAATTAGTTTGATAATGTTTTTAAAAGCTACTATTTCAAAGCTTTTCTTTATATCAAAATAGCCCACCATATATTTTTCTAATATGGTCTGTCCATTTATCATCTCTTATAAAATGCTGTAACCTTTTTTTTTGGTTAATATTTTTGGGCATATTTTGAAATTAGAAAAATAATTTTATAAGACAAGAAATCTTTTGGTTATGGATGGGTGTGGTAAAACAAAAAATGAAATAAAATTTAAAAAAATAGTACCCCTATTCAAATTTTAAGAATCAGTTGCTTAGGACCCCCCCCGTCAGTACGGCGCGGAAATTTTGGCGCAAGACAATTTGGCGCGTATCTAATATAGTGGCAATTTATTATAAATTTATTAGTATAAAACAAGAGGATCATTAAATAGAAATCATGTTGAGGGTTGGTTCTATTAATAAATTTATTATTTATTTTTTTACAAAAATATTAGTTTTATTTACAAAAGCGTAATTAAATAATTTAATGATATCAAAAAATAAATTAAATTAATATACAAATATTTATACCCTGATTTCCTTGGTGGACCAATTTACCAAGTTATAAGGTATGTTGATCCAAAAGAAATCAAATTATTTTTTAGAATTATTAGTAAGGGATCAACAAAAGTGAAGCCTCATGATAGAAGTTGGTATTTCTTAATGATATCCAACAACGATTGTATTAATCTAGAAAATAATTATTGAAAAATAATTTTTTATTTAAGACTGAAACTCATATTGTCTTGAAAGATTCTATTAATTATTTTAAAAAATAAATATTATGTTAAAAAATAATCAAAAACGAATTAAGCACAATTATCTTATTTATTTATAAAATGTTATTGAAAATATTGATATACCCTATTCATAAACGCATTTAAAAATTATTAACATTTAAAATAGTTAAATAAATTTTTAAAATCGGCCCGATTAAAATTTTAACCAAAATAATATTACGTAAGATTTGAGATTTGGTAAATAGTGTCCAAACCTTTCTTCCATATATGCGCAAAATATCCAGGCTTACATAATATTATTTAGGCTTAAATCTTAATCTGGCCGTTTAATAACACCAACATACCTTATAACTTGGTAAATTGCTCCATCAAAGAAATCAAGGCATAAATATTGGTTTAATAAATTAATTTTAATTGTTGATAATTAAATTTTTATTGGTATTAGGCACTTAGTAAATAAAATTGTAATTTTTTATTAATTAATAGGACCACCCCTCAAAATAACTTCTATTTAAAGATCCTTTTTCATATTAATAAATTTATAATAAATAGCAATTATTTTAGATACGCGCTGAATGACATTGAACCGTTGTAGGGGTCACTGATAGGACATTTGTATCTTAGTACACTAGGAGTAAAACAAAATAAAATTTGGATGTTACCTAATTTTTTTAACTTATGTTACAGAAAAATTGACTAAAGGAAAAAAATTTGGGTTCAGCTTTTGGGGAATAGTCCAGAACTTTGATATAAAGACATTTAAAATCCACGTCCAAAAATGATTACAAAATTAATAATAAGAAAAAATATAGATCACCCTCACTCTAATTTAATAATTCTGAATAGAGATCTATGAAAGGATCACACGTCTGTTAGTATATATGTCTTTATCGAATTATTAAAATTAATTGTTTATATTATTATTTAATTTTTACTGTTTAGATGAAAATTAAATGTTATTTGATTATTTTTTTAAAAAAGATTTAAATATTTTATTATTGTAAAAACTTTTACTTTTTATATTTTATGAAATTAATAAATTTTTCAATGTCATAAAAACAAAAACCAAGGATTCTTAAGAAAAAATAGTTATTACCAAAAAAGTGTTGAAGGAATTGTTATTTATATATTTTTTGTTTGGATCGACACTGCCACAATGGTGATAATATTTATTAAAAAAATTATTGTATTCAAAAAGCATTTGTAAAATAGTCGGTTAGTGCATATATCATTAATTGTTAAGTTCTGAATGAGAATCCAGCAAGGATTGAGCTTTTCGGAAAGCGACCTGGTGATTCCATCTCTCTCTCTCTCTCTACATATATGTATATATAAATGGAATATTGAGTTTAAAAAAATTGATCTTTGTTTTGTTCTTTAAATTTCTTTATATTAACCTTGGTAGTAATTAAAACCCGAAAATATAAAGCATATTTTGAATTCCGTGTTTGAGAATTAATTAGAAATTTAAAGAGTATTTAATTTCATGATAGTTCGAAAAATTCAGATGACGATTAAGAGTTGTTAAAATCGTAGAAAAGGGGAAAGTTTAATATAACTATAGAAGAAATGTCCTGACTTACTGGAAAAATGTAAAAGCTTAACATATCCAAGCTTTATAGAATAACTTCAACTTTGTTCTCACAATTGATAAGCAGGTACATATTGAGACGACTTTTTTTTTATTTGGTCTATCTAAAGGTCCAAAAAATTCTCGAAATTTATGAAATATTATTAGGGAAGGAAAAAAAAATATTTGTTTTTATAAATATAGAAAGTTAATTTATTAATCTAATTTTTCTATAAATTATTTAAATATTATAGTTAAAAAATAATTATCAAATTCAAAAGAACCAGAACAAACTGCCATTACCGCGAATTCTCTTACAAATCATTCCACGAAGAAGCTACCATCATTTTATTTTTATATTAAAGCAATCTTATTTATGTATTATATATATCAAACCTTAGCCATATCATGTATACTAACTGTTATGGTTGGACAGACGGATTCCACCGTCAGGGAAGGGAAGATACTGTCCATGTTCGGGGGTCCAGGATGGTCGATGATGAAGACCGGGGGGCCGGTTTTGGATATGATTTTCGTCATGGAATCACCTGGACTAAGTCGAAAAATTAATGAAACACGAATTTATTTTAATTGGTAATCAAACAGTAAAACATCAATTTCATATCATATTATAAACAACAAAACAAAATCAAATATTTAATGATCACAATTCATTTTCTGAGGTCTTTATATAGTCCCCCTTTTCAGTCAATCAATAATAAACAAATATTATTTTCATGTCCCTGTCCATCTCGAAAACTGGCTAGAACCAGTTTTGAAGATGAAATCAAAACAGGGTTGGTATAAGTGAACAAAGAAAAATATAAATGGTAATATACGAATATTGTACAAACAAAGAGAAAAATATAAATGATAAACAAGTTATATCGTACAAACAAAGAATAATATAAATTATAAACACGTTGAAACACAACACTAACACTAGACCATATCAGGCCTTTTTATATTTAATAAATATGAATATATCCATAGTCTGCTTATAATATACAGATACTAATCCTAATCCATCAGGATATATATAATATAATTTTCATAAATTATTCTATCATGTAAATCGATATTTATATTACAGTAATATCTTATAAAAATCTCGCGAAACGAAATTTATCCTAAAAGTGGACAACTCATTATAGATTCCGAGTTTCTTTATAACTTTTAACATAAGGGCTGACTATTAAGTTTTAATGGTTGTTACATACATGGCACGCGATCGAAAAATTACCATTACATTACATTGTACAAATTACATCGCCCAAAACCTGTCTCCTCATATATTAACCGAACCCTAACTAATAATTAAAAAAACATTCACTTATTGTTTTATGATGAATTTAAAAATAAATAAACAAAACTGGTGCTTATGTTATTTTTAAGTAAGTTTAATCAGTACTTATTTTTTTTATACCTCGAACTCTGAAAACTTGATTCATGGATTTTTCACTGAACCCGAACCCCCATATATTTTAAAGCATGAGATTCATATGCTGATAAGTTATGACCTATGTCAACAAGAAGTTCGAACTTGGGCCTGCTCATTTTTTTTCTCGCTTAAACGAATTTACTAGTTTTATCGAATTCGTGGCTAATTATCAAAACTAATGAATATTTTTTATATTTCACTGCGAATCCGTGCTACTGAATGTAAGGTTAGAGAGAATATCAAAATATAAAATGGTTGATTTGACCTGTCTGATCCCACCAAAACATGGATATGATTTTCTCGGACTCGGTCTGATTTGGATCTTGATTTAAAATTTTATTATAGATCAGACACACAACTTTGAAAAAGTATTGGGATAGGTCGAACAAAAAAAATTTTGGAACCGAGTCGGACCCGAAAAAATAAGTCCAAAACTATATAAAATTCCACAAGGGGCCTATTGGATGCTTTCTATTTCGAATGTTTTTTGAATGAAATATAGTAATTCTGATCTCTACCATATTCGTTTCGCCTTTATCTTGCCTTATTATGTAAATGTTTAAACTTAAATACTCTATTTATAATACTTAAATTACACTTAGGTAAAGGATAACATGAAAAGCATCTTGCCAAGAATTGAAGGTAAGGTAAATTTTATTTTTAATTTATCTTAAAATGTTAATTAATTTTAAAAAAATATTAAGCAATTGTACTATTTGGTGAGCCCGTCAATTGGGAAACGAGCCTACAATTAATTATCGATGTCCTTTTAACAGATGGTTATATAGATAAAAAATTCGAAATGTTTCCTTATCCCCATATACCCATAATTTCATGCAACTCAGATTTTATATGGATGGCTCAATGGAAAAACCCAAGGTTAAATTGAATCAATTATTATTATTCGCTTTTTTTGTCATACACTTATATTATTATCTATTTAAATTTCATTTATGGGTTGAATTACATCGATTTCGATATATCCTGGTCTCCCATGCTATTATTTAATGAAAATCTTTCTTGGGAAATTTCTGGAAAGTTTGATTTTAGAAATGGAAAAAAAAATTAAATCAAGCTTTATGGGGGAGGGGGTTTATTAAATAAAAAGGTATCATGTAAGGCCACTTCCAGACAAGTCTTTTTTTTCAAACTTTAAATTTCCAAACAAAGGATTATAATTTGTCGAATTCAATTTTTGTCATGATATAAATTTGCCACCATTAATAATCATTATTAAAAAAACAAAAATTTTTATTAACATTTTCATAATGACTAATTTATGTAAGCGACTGAATTTCTTGTCGGTACTAGTTTTAAAAAAAAATTAATTCGACAAATTGCTTAAGGCTTGTAGAAATCGCTTTGAAAAACGATTTTCCCGGAAGTGACCTAAGATAAATTTTTAAAAAAAGATTTGAACAATACCTTTTGTGGTAAATTTTCTAAGCCGCCATTTTTTAAGTAAATGTATCTTGTTAGCCCGTTGACTAAGATTAATATCATTATATTGAATAATGCATAAATATATAAATGATTTAAAAACATCATGGACCCGTGACTATTGATAACCATAATAGGTTTTGGAATTTATATTAGTTTTTAAAATATTTTATTGCTTTGTAATGTATTTAGGCTTGGCCATGGCGCCTTTTTATCATGCCTGGAATCCCTTTACAAAGTATATTATTTTTATAAAATATAAAACCTTTGTTTTATAATTATAACGAGATTTTTTATATGGAAAAGTGATGCAACTTACCATAAATTTTTTATAATTTTAAAATTATTTGTTGAACAATATTTCCCAAATTTGTCAATTTTTCAAAAATTGAAATATCGTGTTGACATTTTTTTGATGCAATTTAATTTTTATTCTTTAAAAATGCAAGAAAATGACTGGGAAAGAATTGATATATTCTGCTATTTTGGGTAAGCCTAACGTGTTAAACTATCTATACGCTGAAAAAATATTATACGAAAACGCTAAGAAAATTAACCAGCATCATCATTCAAACCCAAGCAATATACAAACAATATATGCTATAGGGTGTATATTTATATTCAAATTTATAAAATTATTGTAAAGCTTAAGTTAAGTTTTATTCAGATTAAAAAATCTAATTGTTAGCTCGCTGTTCAAGTGTCAGATAAAATAATTAGAGGTTTACCGATGCCAATAGCGCAATTAATTTTTATTTATTTAGCTTTTCATCTTTCCTTATCGAGGTACATAAAAAGTTATACAATTTTTTTTGGCGCTTGGCTTCTATTAATCCCATTTTAACTATTCCTTTTAAGTCATGCCTTATAGATAAACCAGCAAAACAAAATAATATAAAGATATTATTAAGAAACACTAATAAATTATAAAAAATCTAATTTTCCCATTATCTATACTTGCTTTACAATTTTTATATGACCATTAATCATTCAAATAAGTCTAAATTATTATATAAAAATTTAAATAAAATTAGGTAGAGCTCGATTTTTATTTTCCAAGTTTAAGTAATTTTGAAATATGTAAAACACTAGTTTTGAAAAATTGAGTATCAAGTGGTATCGGACTATTACCTTGCTGATAGGTAAAAAGTGGCTTAATAATTTAATGTTTTTAAAATAGCACGTCCACAAATAACTATGACTATAGTTGATATTTATTTTGGCACCCTTTTTAAACCACTGTTTTTTTAGCCACAACCAGATGGCGTAATTATCAAGTAAATTCGATCTAGAGTTATGTTTAAGCAAATATATATCCCAGAGATCTGCAGAATTTTTTTAAAAAAAAACCCGGGCCGGGCCGTATATTTTAAAAACAATATTTTAAATTGCCATTATTACCTATAAAAATTAAAAATAAATATATTATAGTTTGAAAAGATCCGGGCCGGGCCTAGCAAATCGTACCTCTGCAGGTCTCTGATATATCCTAACATAATTAATATGATTTTTGGCTACACTATAGTCAAGGTTTGAAAAAAAACTAAACTATTAAAAAAGCAAATCAATAGATAAATACATTAGTTTGCGATTTGCATTATAAAATAGCAAAATTGTGTATTTAATATGTAATATTTAAAATATAATGGCTCGTTCCTACCTATATAAAAATAAGACATATTCGTAATTAAAATATATCATTTTAAATAAGTGACAATATAGAATCCGACATTGTAGGAGGTAATATTTACAACAAATTACTCGACAAGAAAATCGAAAAATCTCGCACACAACATTCTGATTTCTCTTATCAACATTTATTACATGATAAAAATTATGTCGATTTGGTAGATTGGACTCAATTATCGGTTTAATTTATATTTTTTAAATTAATTAAATAAATTAATTTTATTGAAATCGCAAAGTATAATTATTTAATAAATATACAATATATAAGCAATCTTTTATGTTTTTAAAATGATCCAGTTTCTGGGCTTGTCAAAAGGGTTAGTGTTCATATAAAATATTTAAAAATCGTATCAACTGGGTTAAGATAATTTATAAGAAATTCCAAATATATTCATCAATAAAATCTTTTTCTATCACTATTTCCCTTTAAAAAAAAGCTGAAATTCCTGCGAAAAAAAATAGAAACGAAATTTTCGGGTAAACATTTTTAGGCGAAATTTTTTTATTTTTGCATTTAATAAATAGACACACACACGAATAAAAAATATTACAATCGGCAAAATGAATTAATTTTATTATCAATATGATCTGGAAATTTTTTCAATTTGTTTTTGTTAACGCTTCTTTGGCCCAACAAGCATTTTTATGCACAGAAATTTTAATTAGTATTAGCGCCCCTCCTTTTAAAAATCAGGAGCGGGAGCAGGAATTCACTCCTTTTAGGACTGGAGTGGATAAATTTAATATATATAATATTAAATTATTTTTTAAATATTAATAAATCTTATTTATTAATTAAAATTCAAAAAAAATGAAATTTTATTTTAAAATTATGCAATATTAAATGTTGAGCCTTAGTTTTTCATCTAATCAGTTAAAATATTAAACATAAGTTTTTCTTTCTTTTTATATTGAAAATTTCTTGGAAAATGTTGTAAGTCATATTAATATTCATTTTATAGATATATGATAAAAAATAGTTTTTGATATTATGGATCCAGACATCATAGAAGAAGAAATTGAAATAAAAAATTAAATTATCTATTTAAAATTACTTTATTGCAGATTTTCAAATGTTTATAATGATGAAAATGTCATTGCTGCTATTATCCATCCTTCATTCAAATTAAATTTGGAATGGATAAAATGTGCACAAAATATGGAACGAAAATACAAATTTCAGGAACCCTGCAATGATTTGGAAGATTTTTTTAGATTCCAAAAATGATCATCAGGAAGATAATATATTAGACAAATATTTTTTAAATAATGATATCAAAATTACTATTTTTGATAAATCTCCTAAATTAAAAAATTTTTTTATAAAATACAATACCCCGCTTCCCTCTAGTGCTCCTGTTGAGCGCCTGTTTAGTATTGCTAAACAGGTTTTAGGGGAGAAGTGTGGGTGTGTTAGATTCAAATTTAGAAAATTATTACTTTTAAAAGCTAATAAAAGATGATATATCATTTAATATAAATAAATTTTTGATAAAAAAATATGATTTTGTTTCGTGTACTTTCTAAAAAATGAAAATCAAAGGTGCGGCTATGGAGTGACACTCCATTACTTGAAGCGGGATCTAGCTACTTTTAAAAAGGAGCGTTAACAACTCTGGTATGATGGGACCCGTTAATGTTATTATTGAGAATGCAAATTATTTTAGAATATGTTTTTCTCGTATACCTGTCATAATGAAGTTAATTAAGTGAAACCCGTATTAGCATCTTGCGTAATTCATGGGATTGTGCTAATAAAATTTTCAAACTTTCTATTGTTCATCCCACTTAATGCTACAAGCAAATTTGAAGCAAGAAAAAAGATCGCCACTTTTTTATTAAATAGAATAGCCAGTTATTACAAAAAAAAATTAACATATTTAATTACTAAAATTATTGGAATAATATCTACCTATTTTGCATATCAATTAAAGCTGTTAGTCATCAACGTTTTCTATTATAAATTCCTATCTAGGGGGAGGGAGCATGGAAACATACCTTTGTTTGCCTGTTTTCTTAATTATCAGTTTAAGTTAAATAAAAAAAATTCATCTCCTTTACACTCTTCTCGCCCTCAAAAATGTATATAATATATCACAGAAAAATAAGAATTAATAATTTTTTAAAATAATGACTAATTCAAAATTTAAGAAAAGAGCATTTTAAGTGATACATGGCAAAAACGTTTTCACCCTGTTATGTACAACAGAGCTACGCTAGGTTTTCCTCAAATCCATCAGGGGGAGAAAAATGAGGAGCCCTTCACGCGTTTGTGGGCAAGCCTCACTTACTTGTACGCGCAATAGTCCTAGGACTATTACTTAAACGTCTGTGGGCTCATTAAAAGGGAATGGGCAGAGAAACACAGCCCACACCCACGAATTGTATATGTATTTAATTACTTTATAGGCGAAGGAAGGGCCGATTTTAATTTTAAACTACTTATGATAAGTAAATAAAATAAATAAATGAAAAGCTAGTGTCAATGGAATATGAGTTATTAAAAAAGTGAAAACCCCAAATTATTTTATTAAAAAAATGTAACCAGGCTAAAAGCCTGCAATAAGTGGGGCTAAAACCCCTCATTAAAATTTATAGGAGAAATCCATAAATTGTACTAGTGTTGTTGATTTGCTTGGTCGTAAAATTTACGACCAATTTTGTGCTCATGCCTGCTCTGAGCATAGACCCGGGGGTTTGACCGAGGGGGGAGTATAGGATCCATAAATAGAATTTATTAATTTTCATGCTAAACATCCTTTATGATTTTTTAGATTTCACATGTTTGCTATATAATTATAATAACAATAAATGATTTATTATTTAGAAATAAGTTTTTAAAGTTTGGAAAATAAAATACATAAATGGTATTTTAAATTAAAAGTGCGAATTTCAGAAAAACCAGTTTAAATAGGATAAAAAACAACTCATAATAAATCATATTCACAAGAGAATAAATTGTGATAATTTAAAAGAATATAAATTTTTAATGCATATAAAATACTAAGAATTCCTGAAGGGGAAAAGATTTGTTTTGGCTTTTAAAGAAAACGGAGTATGTATGATCAAAAATAAATATATAAAGCGAGAAAAAAAATAAGAAGTATAGAGTAAAAATAATTATAATTTATTTTTTATATGCCCAGACGATTTTTAAAAATTATATATATATATTATTTATTTTCTACCTCCCCTGCTTTGCCTTGATTGAAAGAAAAAAATATTATTTACTTTTCTTTATTTTTTCCTTTTTATTTTGTATATTCTATTTTAATAATTCAGTTTTTATATATAATATAAATAAAAGAATAAAATATTTTTTTTGTGTACTATAAATAAAATATATAATATTTAGGTTATATATTTTTTTTCTTCCATGTGTATCATAAAACTTATATATTTCATGTCGTGATCGTGAATAGCCGCGAAATCCAAATTAAAATATTTTTCAATAACCAGAACAAGAAATAATCACATGCCTCAAGCATATGAAAAACAACAAAGCTAGGGGTCCAGACGATATTCCAATAGAAAGTCTTAAAGCACTAGGAGATGATGGAATACATCTCACAAATCTGTAAAAAAAAATACTTGGAAATGAAGAGGTTCCCCCAAAATGGAGGCAGAGCTATCTAGTTCCTATCTTCAAAAATAAAGGGGATCCACACAATTGTCAAAATTACAGGGGCATAAAACTAATGCCACACTGTCTAAAACTATACGAAAAAATAATAGAAAAAAGATTAAGAGACATAATCGAAATAGGAGAGACTCAGTTTGGCTTTATGCCTGGAAGATCAACAGCTGATGCTATCCACGCAATTAGGCAAATGAATGAAAAATACAGGGAAAAGAACAAAAAGCTACACATGGTCTTTCTCGATCTAGAAAAGGCCTTCGATAGAATCCCAAGAAAACTTATCTGGTGCGCGCTACGCCACAAAAAGGTTCCCGAAAAATATATAAGAATAATACAGGATATGTATATGGGCCATACAACAATGGTCCGTAGCACAACAGGTACTTCAGCAGGCTTCACAATAGCCGAAGGAGTTCATCAAGGGTCGGCTCTCAGCCCACTTCTCTTCATTACAGTAATAGATGTATTAGCACAGTCTATACCTCAAACAATCCCGTGGAATATGATATTTGCAGATGATATTGTGATACTTGCCGAATTCAAGGATGAAATGAAAGAAAGATTAGTGAGTTGGATAAATATCCTAGAAAAGCACGGACTAAAAATAAATAGAGAAAAGACGGAGTATATGGTGATAGGAGGAGATGAAACAGAGAGTATTGATATAAATGAATGTCAGATATCGGCAATTGAAAGCTGCAAATATTTGGGCTCCACTATACAAACAAACGGCACAATAGAAAAAGAGATAAAGAGTAAAATTAATCATAGGTGGTTAAAGTGGAGATCTTTATCTGGAGTGCTATTTGACAAAAGAATCCCACACAAATTAAAGGGAAAAATTTACAGTTCCATAGTACAACCAACTATTCTATGGCCAACCAAAGAATCAGACGAGAGAAGTCTACAAACTATGGAGATGAGAATGCTGAGGATGATTGCTGGGGTAACAAGAAAGGATAAAGTGCACAGTACAAGAATACTAAGTTGTTTAAAGGTAGTGCCCATTAAGACTATGTTAATGGTAAACAGACTTAGTTGGTATGGGCACACAATGAGAAGGAAATAAGGTTGAGTTTGAAAGTGATAGGCAAACGTAGAAGAGGAAGGCCAAAACTTCAATTGGACCATAAAGTTAGAGAAATATAAAGAAGTAATTAGATAAAAGAGATTGTATGAATAACATAAAGTGGAGAGAGATGTTGAAGGAGCTTACCACCAGAAAAGGTGAAAGCTAAGGAGAAAAAATAAATTAGTCTATTAACATCACTATCCATATTGATAAATTGTGATGAAAGAATATTCCAGCCCCAAAGACCTATACCCATCCACATCCACTTGGAATAATAATTTAGTTTACAATTAAATTATAATAAAATTACCTTTTATTTAACATTGACACTCATATCAATATTTTGAATTGATGAAAATATTCCTGACCCCTCAAAACTTAGATCCACCCACTTAACATAATAATTATGATTACAATCAAAATATAATTAAATTAACTTTTATTTGATGCCCGTATCAATATTTTGCCTTTAAAAGTATTCCTGACCCCTGTAAACCTAGAACGCCCACTTAGAATAATAATTTTGATTACAGTCAAGATATAATTAATTTACCCATCCCATATTATTTTGTGTGGGTAAAAATATTCCTGACCCTCCAACCATTATATTAGCCCATCAAGAGAAAACGCTTGTCCTCCTAATGAATAAATCTTTTGATTAGCTCTCGGATATATATTAAACATATATACTTTCCTAAGTTCAACAAAAAACAACTATAAAATTATGCTCGGGTTTGTGCTCAGAGCTGGTTTAGTCAATTTTTAGCAGGGACCCAAACCGTTATTTATAACTCAGTATGTAAAAAATTATAATGGTTACGGTTCTAAAGAAAAAATTTATAAAGGTTCGGTTCAGTTCAGCTAATTATAAAGGTTTATTACGGTTAGAAATTTTTTTTTATTGAAGCAACATCATTGTCTAATTTATTTCTATTATAAGCATCTATGAATTACATATAAAAAAAATATATATACTCATTTTTAAATATATTATTTGAACGTATATGTAATATATTTTCTAATATAAATGGATTCATTTTTGCTCATTGTAACAATAACACAAATTTTAGCTCGGAAAAGGCCTTTTCTACAAAAACTTGTGTTGCGGGAACTGTAAGTACTATAAGAGCAAGTTTATATAATTGAGAATATTCAAATTATTTCCATTTCTAAAATATAAAAACTGAACTGGTTGGTTTGTTATGGTTCACGAGTCCCTGATTTTTAGACCCAAACCCTGAGTTTCACACAACCAACCAATTAACAACACTAAATAGTACTTTATCCTCCTTAGCAACCTTGCATATTTCTTAAACATTTGTAAAACACAAATAATCTGCTTGTATAAAGAGTGATTGGATAACTACAAAAGCATCGTACATCAAAGCAAGATCTTATAATTTTGCAGATTTCTAATTAGATGAGCACTTAAATTTTAGTTCCTTTTTAGCTTTAAATGATTCCATCACCCTGAAAACTTCTGCCCATCCATTATACCATAGGCATGGCCTGTCCTAAATATGAAATTTTTGAGTGACTTCCCTCCCATAAATTTATTTAAGGCTTTCTACAAATAGCTATTGATATCAGTTGTTTAAATTAAAATAAAGACATTCATTGCTGGATGATAAGATACTATAAGTCATGATTTTTAAAATATTATTACTTATGGTCTAAAAATACTCAATTTTTCATTTTATTAGATTGTATAAGAATATAAAATAATTAAATAGGATTTAGATACAAGTCATGTAACTCAATGTAAAACGATACTAGTACAAACGGGCGTTTTCCACTCAAATTTGGATGAGGAAAGGGAAAAGGCATATAAATTATCGTACAATCATAGGGATACTAAGGCTGATCCCTCTATGAAAAGGGCTGATTATGTTGTTAAAGATTTGATGGAAGCACTAAAGCTTATACGCAAAATTGAGGCATAATAATTCTTTTTATTAAAACAAAATATGTGTAATATATTAAATTATATAGGGAATTTTATGGATAGTTAAATATTTATAAAATTTGTAAATAATTTTTCGATAGTTAAAATATTTATCACTTCACTATCATTAATCATATAATGATATATATACATTAGCCATAAATTAAATGCTCGATTAATATATGTTATAAGAATATTTTTAAATATATTTATACCTAGAATAAAAGCTTTTGAATGTTTTAATATATGTACAAAATAATATTCATTTTTATTGACTGTGTTTTTTTTATAAAATAAATAAATTATACAAGTGAAATAATGTATTTAGATTGCATTTTATAATGTGTAAGGGTGGGGGGGGGGGTATCATGATTTTTCTCCTAGTTGATGTTATGATTATGAAAAATTTTAGAGAAAAAATTATTTTGCTTTAATATAATCCTGTTTTTTTCATGATCTTTAAAAATTCTTCCTCGTCAACTTTTCCATCATTATTTTTGTCAGCCTCTGTTATCATGTCCTTAAAAGGTAAAACAAAAGAAGGATTTAACCTCTAAAATGTTTAAAGCTAAAAAATATAATGCAGCCTAAAAAAGGTATACCTAGATGAAGTTTTATATTACGAAAATTAATAAAAAAGATTTAATTACTTCTAAATCCTTTTCATCAATATCATTTATGCATAATTCCTTAGCTATCCTTTTTAGATCTTGTAATATTATGGAACCTTTATTTTGAGTGTCAAATAATTTAAATGCATTAGTCATTTCAGAGTTTGTATCATTTTCACCAAACTTCTTAGCCATTAATTTAACAAATTCATCATATTTAATATAGCCTAAAATTAATATAAATAATATTATGTGAAAATTAAATCATATATTAACCTGATTTATTTTTGTCATGTTTAGATATAATATTTTTAATTTCTTCAGTTTTTGGTTCAAATCTTAGAGCTCTTAGCAAAAACTATTTTATATATATTGAATTTAGTGTATTAATTATATTATACTTTTAAATCTTTGTTTTTAATTTCTTTCTTTTTGTCCACATCAAATGTATCAAAGTTGCGATTAATTTCTTTAAGTTCCTCTAATGTTAATTGGTAATCATTTCGATGCATTTCAGATAAATTAAATGAACGTATGGAAATTATACACACATTTCGGGTTAATTTTTTTGTGAAATTATTTGATATAAAATTTTTATAGTTTATTTATAAAAATATTTGATATAAAATTTTTATAGTTTATTTATAAAAATATTTGATATAAAATTTTTATAGTTTATTTATAAAAATATTTATATAAAATAATATCAAAAATATTACAAATTAATTTATATTCCAAACAATTTTGGTGTCTATTCATTATAATTTAATTAAAATAATTTTTTGATTAAATAATAGTCGTATCATATTTTAATATAATAAATATGATGTTTTGCTGGGACTGCTGCATAAATAATATAAAGAAATTATTTTTTAAACGATAAATATCGATGAAGCAATATTAAACCACGAAGACAATTTAATAAAAACAAAAATCAGAAAATACAAAATAATATGTTGCTTATATGATAAAATATTTAAATTATTACCGATGGTAAAAAAAAATACCTTTCGAAATAAATTGAAACTTCTAAAATTGTTTTTGAATGTCATTAAAATTAGTTTGATTGTTTTTTTGAATGTCATAAGTCATAACAATTTAAACTAAGATTTAATAAAAAGAAAGAAAAAACAATTAAACGATTTGTTAATAAAATATTAGAAATATTTTTGCTGCAAATTAACAAATAAATTTTTTCACCGATTAATCAGTTTCCTTTTTTTAAAATTATTATTAACTATAGAGACCCTTAAAGGAAAATATTTATATTTAATAGTTGTATTAATAAAAAATTTAATATATGTTAGATACAGTTATTATTGAAAAGTTGTCATTAAAATATAGTCGCTATTTAAGAAATAAATTTATTAAAAGGAGTTTAAATTAATTGACTTAAGATAATACTTAAATAATTTAAAATAAAGTTAATAAGTCAATGTGGGATAAAAAGTAGAATCAGTAAAATTCTCATAATTAGTAAAGTTATAGCAATACACAAATGGAAGCGATCATATGAATCAAGTTAGTTTTTCCGGTACGAGTGATGAATATAGATATTATCTTCAAGGATGGATATAAACTGATAAGTGATTGTATTTGTACTTTGAATTTAATTTAATCATATATTTATTTCTTATTTTAGGTTTTAAATTATATTTATAGAGTACCTTCCCCGTCCCTTTTTTTTAAAATAAATAGGGCCGTAGGTTTTGGGTGTGGGCTGTTCTCTTGGTCCTCCCTATCTGTTCCAGCCCACAGACGTTTAAATAATAGTTTATGAACTATTATGCGTACAAGTACGTGCGGCTTGCCCACAAACGTGTGAAGGGCTCCTCATATTTTACTTTATACCTAATATAAATCTTCCAATTAGATGGATATGAGGAAAACCTAGCGTAGCTCTGTTGTACCTACAACGTTGAGAGGGCGTATGCGCTTTATTCCGTATTCCGTAAATGGAAGCAATGATAAGGCATGATTTCTTTTGTACGGTTTTCCTGGATGCAATCTATCCCATTAGATATAAACAGGTCTAAGGTCAGTTGCAACAATCATGTAAGATAAAAACATTAAATATGTATGATAAAAAACAATAATTACATATGTTAGATAAATATACAAATTTAAACATAATTATTTCCCTCGTTGATTCTTTATATATCAATTATCTACATTTACATTTCTATTCTCTGAAGATCCAACTAATATAATGATTCAAAATTAGCCTATATGATTGTGTTGGATAACAAAATTCCCACAGTAACAAGTTTATATTTTTTATATATTTGAATTCCTTTTTTTAAAAAATATTTTGTTATAAAATTCATCTTAATCACATTTTATAAAATATTATGTTTATAACATTTATGACTGGTTGTATTATTTACATATGTATATATTTTAAAAACATATGTGTTTTCTACCTTATTTTTATTAGGAACCTATCTACATTATTTGTAATATAATTTGATAAATATGACTTATCCTAACCATAACACTTAATTAATAAATTCTATTACATATATATTTAAATCTATAATATACCCTTTGTTAAAGTAAACTACATTTAGCATGTAGTACTTCAAAATATTTGACCAATACACATGGTCAGTATTGGTAATGGCCAATTCTTTTAATTTTAACCTATATGAGTTTTACATATTCTAAATGATAACTACCATTCATAATTAAAATTTTTTGATATTTTGCTATGAATTTAAAAAAAAACTATAAATGTATTAAATAAAATAAAGAAAAGAAGTGGCTGTTAATATTGTTTTCTTTATTTTCAAATTTCATTAATTTATAAATAATGGAAAATGATAATATTCATAAATTATATCCTTGATTTTTAAAAATATTAAATTATTGTTATTTTGATATTGGTAATAATTAATACCATGTAAGCCTTGATTACACAGTTTCTGTATCTGTTAAAAGTGTTGTATTGGGGCATCTCTGCTCAAAATAAATTTAGGATACCCCTTTAACTATTTAATACTATGATTTAAGATCAGAGTTGGGCAGGTCCTCCAGAAAAAGAATCTAGATACAGATTCTTTATGAATCTTAGATACAGATACTAGTATCTTTTTCAAAATATCAAAAGATAGAAGATAAAAGATACTTGTATCTTTTACTAAGAGTATCTTAAATACAAGATACTTTTAAATTATCATTACCAATTAATAGAATAGTTAATAAAATACAGTTTTTATTATTTATTTTGTGAAGAACATACCATACACATATAAGGATGAATATTTGCAATAATTAATAAAATATTTATTGATGAATTAATTATAATCAGGGATTTTAATAATAATTTTTACCCATTAAAGCTTAAACAGGGAAGGGAGAGTTGTATATTTAATGGGAGTTGAAAATGTGCAAATAAGAAAAAAATTAAATCAAATGATTTATTTGAATTTTCAGGTTATTTTCTGTGTTTTAAATAGATTATATTTGTAGTATATGGCTAAATGGCATCTCTAAAAAAAATATGTTAGTTTTATTTTATTAATTATCTTTACTTGTTTGTGATATTTATGTATTTTTTTAAATTAGTTTTATTTTTTAATATGACTTATTAATTCTTGCATTTGTAATATCATATATATAAATATCACTTAAATCTCTTTTCAAATTTTTTTAATATATTTCTTGCAAAATCATTAATTATATATAAAAAATATGAAAATAATGTACAACATTATATTATTTAATTATTAAATACATAACAATTTTCTTTAATACATTTTAAATTGATTAAATTTTGTTGATTAATATTGTAATATAATTTTACTTATATCATAAATAAATAAAAGTAACTAATAAAGTTAAATTCTACCTTATTTTATAATTATTTTATTAAGAGCCTTTTAAAATTATCTAATATTATATATCAATTGTAGCTTATATTTCCTCTAATAAGAACTTGTTAAAATAATTAAATATAAAATATATTAGGGATGTGCCGATATTTTTTATCAAATCGGATCGGGCCAATATTTCACCTATTTTAAAATATCAATTATCGGTCAATATTATAAAATTTGATCCGATATAAAAATGGCTTCTTTAACAATAAAATGTTATAAAATTTAAAAAAAATAGTTATATCTAAAATCATTTATTTTTATAAATAAAATCGAAATTTATTTTTATGTAAATTTTTTTAATAATAATATTTAATTAATAAACATTCTACCATATTGTTATTTTTTGCGCATTCTGTTTATAAAAGTGTGCGATAATCTTTTCAAAATCTGTTTTTAGTGAAGCTGGTGATATTTACAGATACTATCGCTGCGAGCTGACCTCTGATAAATTGGAAATATTGGTATTTCTAAAAAGAAATCTTCGCTATATTAATGCTAAATATTATTTTAAATATTTATTTCAAATTTCATAATATAATTGTTTATTACTTAATATGTATATAGATTAATGTTATTACTTATTATATAAAAGTGATTTAACAATAAAAATATTTTATATACTTTTAGAAGTGCAATTGAATTGAATATAAACTATAACTGTATAATATATTTAAATGGCACAAATTATGGTATAGTTAAATTATAGATGTTATACTAATAAATATTAAAAATTGAAACCATTGGTAGAATACAAAATTAGATATGATATTGGATCAGTAATTGGCCGATATCAATTTAGTATTGGGAATATAGGATCGGATTGACCTCTAAAATGTGGTATCGGTACACCGCTAAAAAATATAAGAATGATTTTAATTTGATAATCAACCATCTTCTATAAAAAATTTTAATAACAATTATCTAAGAGGGACTTAAGTATAGGTATTATTATGTTAATAATTATAAAATAAAAATGTATAATATACTTTAATATGTTTAACAAAGTTTGTGTTGAACCTTTAATAACTTTTTTACTAGTGCAATTTTGACATTCAGTTTGTACCTTGTCCTTTTTCACATGAATTACTTTATAAAATTTTCTATCTAAAATTTTAAGATTCAGATTTAATTCAGTAGAACCTATCTCCATAATTTCATCTTCACTACCATGAATGTTAAACATTCTACAAATTAAAAAATATTACATATATAATATATCCTTTACTTATTTAGTTTTGGTGTTGTTATTTTTAATCTATCTATCTTTGTGACCTGTAAAATTTTCAACTAATTTTGGATATCAATATATTTAAAATATAGCGGGAAAAAATAAAATAAATAATACAAGATCTCACGAAGAAAATAAAGTTAATTGTGTGTGATATGTAAATGTTTTAAATATGAATATTAAAAAGAATTTGTATCTTTTTAAAGAAAATGAAAAAGATACAAGATTCTTTTCAAAATAAAGGATCTTAGATACAGATACTAGTATCTTATTAAAAATTTCTATAAGATACTGAGTACAAGATACAAAAGGATCTTGTATCTTTGATATATTTGTGGTACTGCCCAACTCTGTTTAACTTATATTGTTGATTTTTTTAGTAATACCTCAAAATAAATTTATTTTACATTTCAAAATAAAAATAGCTAACCTTTTTCCTTTTTTAAAAAAAAGTAAATAGTATCAGAGGATGGCTTATCCTATTTAATTATTAGTTCCTTTATATTCATGCTTAAGTTATTTTGCATATATTTTATTCTACTTTATGAAAATAAACAAAAGGTCTACACAGCAAAAATGCCAACCTCAGAACCTAATGATTCAAATAAACCAAGCTCAGCTGATTCAAATGATGCTAGAAAATTTGAAAATCTAGATAACACTGTTAACTTTAATAACTACATTGAGGAGCTTACTTTAAAAATAGCAAATCATACCAATAATCAAAAGCTTAACAAAGAAGCTTTATGCAAATACCCTGATGAAGGAGATAATAGTATTGTTTCTAAGCTCGATTCTAGTGTTAAAAAGACCACTAACTTCATCAAGAGGCTTAAAAACATGACAGAACAGCAGAGGGAAGTGCTTACCAAGGATTTCAATACTCTAAACTTGACCAAATATCTGGAAGAAATGGCTTCTGCCATATTTGAATGTCGACTTAAAATGTCAGATGTTCCTCTGGCTGTTCATATTTGCTTTGAGTCTCATAGAAGATATTCTGACTTTTCCTCCTACCTTTTCACACAAATCCAAAAAGTTTTGACTTCATTCATTTCATCTACCAGTTTTCAAGCTCAATCAATTGGTATGTTTTTTTTATCATTTTAATAATACCACTTAATTTAACAACACAATGTTACTGAATATCACTTCCTTTATTTTAAATCATCAATCAATTCCCTTCTATTTTTTTTATTTCCTTATTTATATTATATTTTGAATATAAATTTAAGAAAAATTTAGCGATATCCTTTATCTTATTTATTTCTATTAAAAAATTCCCAGTATGATTGGTAGTTATTAAAGTCCTTCATTGAGGTAGCTTATATAAAGTTGAATCAGACTGCACCAAATATGTTTTTTTTATTTTAGTTGTCATTTTAATACTCTTTTTGGGTGAATACAAATAAACCTCATTGTGGAAATGGACTGATTTAAACGAGGCAGAAAATCTTGTATGTATTTGGACTATTCAAAAAAGGGAATTAATCTAGAGTATTTTTTAATACTAAATCTCTTTCATTTACAATGCAACACATAACTATTTGATGCACTATTGAATTAAACCAATTTTTTAATCTCCCAAATAAGTTATACTCGTAAATACTCATTTTAACAATGTAGAACCATTATCATATGGGTGGTATTGTTGAACGGCTCGTTTTGAGCCGATTTTTTAAGACGGCTAACTCAATATTTTAGTCAGAAAAATGTTACTTTAAACCTCGAGATTTTGCTAATTGATGTCTAGATCTCTGTGCCATCTATGAGCAAAATTGTCAGGCTTGCGTAATATTATTCTGGATAAAAAATTGAGTTAGCCGTTTTTAAAAATCGGCTCAAATCGAGCCGTTTAACAACACTACATATGGGCATAAAAAAATGTATTCAAATTATTACTAGATTAGATAATTATAACATTTATTTTGTTAACTTGGTATCCCTTAAGGTGAAGACAGTCACTCCCAACTTACTACATCTAGCTCCATTCCAAACATGGCCAAATTTAGAGTAGATTTGCGCCTGGCAGCTGAGCTCATTGCCTCCCATATGTTCATTCGGGAAGATCCAAACTCCTTAGGATTTGATCTAATATTTGCTGCCTTACACTCATTAGTCGAATCCGACAAAAGGGAAGACTATCGTCATTTATCCATCCTCACTGGCTTCGTCAAACACTTTCCTGAGGAATATTTAGGGATTTATAACCCTATTCCTTCCGATTTTCCATCTTTTTCATCTGCGCAAATACCAAGCTTTAATACATTTAAACCTTATCAAACAGCCTCTTTAGTTTCACTCATGGTACGAACCTACTTGGAAAGATCGATAAAACCCCGCCTAGATCAGGAGTTCTCAGAGCTTCGATCTCAGAACCGCTCTAACCGAGCTCAGTTTCGAAATAAGGGTGAATTGCACCCAGATAGAATTGCTCGTTTCTCTGATGCCGAAGCCCGCTTTCGGAAATTGCTGTCTGGAGCTCGTAATCTGACCCAGGCTCTGAAAGGTGCAGCTCTCACTTTACCGGACTATGTTTTAAAAGTCGATGTTGACAGTGAAGATGAAGGGGCACGAGATAATAACGAAGGGTGGAAGGATATGGATAGCGATGGTGGTTCAAATAAAAAAGGAGGGGAAGACAAGGAATGGTGGGACGAGGAAGAAGACGCACCAAACTTTTACAAAGATCTGCCAGATCTCAGAGGTCTCGTTCCAGGAGCCTTATTTAAAGAGGCATCTAGTCTCGTCGATGAGAATAAGAACAAGAAAGAAAAAGAAACGAGCGAAGCCGGAAATAAGTTGCCTCAATTAACAATCAAAGATAAGGAAAACATAAAGGACCTGAGAGATGGTAAGAAGGAAAATAAAGTAAAAATCAATGACCTTGATAAAGAAATGAATAGTAAGGAGGAAGTGGTTATTAATGGACGCAAGGGGATCAAAAAGAAAAGGCGTCGAAAATCTGCCGAGCGTTCGGCTTTTGAACGTTTCCTGGATCGCACCATATCCCTCGATATTGAAAATCAAGTTGCCCTTACCCCTTCAAACCTGCCCTCCGTTGATTCTATTGACTCGACCGAATACGAAGACGCCGAAGACTATGACGAAGAAGACCAAGAAACTATATCATCTTGCTCTGCCTCGCTTGTCGGGGGAGTGGAAGACTACTCGGCCCCACCTTCTGGAACTGAAGAGGATGACAAGTCTAATCCTCACATTCTTCCACCTACTCTATCAAATAGCTCGTCGCTTGCCAAATTGAGGGCCGACGAATTTCTCGAAAGCTTAAGCTCTAAAATAAACCGGGACCTAATCGATGAGGCAGCGGTCAAGTTTGCCACCCATCTAAACAATAAGATAAACCGTAAGAGACTCGTGGCTCATTTACTTTCCGTGCCTCGCAATCGTTCCGATCTGCTCCCTTTCTACGCGCGATTAGCGGCCTCTCTGGCGCCTTGCGTGCCTGAACTCGGGACCGAATTATCTAAAAAGCTATACGCTAGCTTTCGCTACCAACTCCGGAAGAAGGACCAAATCAACCTCGAGGTTTTTTTTATTTATTGTACGTATTATAAAAAATAGATATGTTCTTTCATAATTATAATATTTTACCATATTTTTTTGTATGCAACCTGAATTAAATAATACTAATTATTTTTTTTTAATTAAACCTTAGAATTTAATATATTACAAATAATCCAGCCAGGGCTGTTAATACGGAGGAAATATTTCCGAACCTTCCTTAAATTTTTGCACACCCTCTCTTATATGATTGCGAATAAATACTTAACAAATTACTCATTTACAAGCATTTATTTTATTATTATTATCAATTAACATGACATGCGTTTTCTTAATCTTAGCCCGGTTTAGTCCTACAAAAATGCAAATCCATTAATTGCATTATTCGTATTCGTAAAAATGACAAAATAGTTTGTTCGATTCGAAAATTAAATAAAAAGGTTTTTAAAAGTGAAAAGAAAAAGATATATTTTTGGATTTTGTAAAAAAAATAGTTTTTAAAAATAGAAAAATGGATTATTAGATTCTGTAGAAAAAAAGGTATTTAGATGTGGGGAAAAAAAAGTTCCTTATGTAATAACATTAAATACTTACGATTTTGAATATTTAGGAATAATTAAAATTTTATAATATGCGAATATAGAAACATTTATTATTTGATTATTTTAATCAATATTTCAATTTTTGAAGCGAATATTTTGTTCTAGACTTAGCTCAGTTTTATTATAAAATGCCAGTTATTCATGCGTCTTTTCATAGATTATAATTAGAGATCAACAAAATAACTTTTTAGAGGCCTATCCTATTTAGCCGGTAGTCGATATCGGCCGATCACCAATATCAGCAGATCCGATTTTGATAAAATTATAGTGAAAATATATATTAGGAATAGAATAAACCAAAAATATAAAACAGTAAAATAACTATTCATATGAAGGAAACCAATTTAAAAAATTTTGATTCAATACTATCATTTTATCATAAATAAAATTTTACCCACTTTTTTGATTTATATGATCATCCAATTTAACGATATATTCCGAAGTGATCTTAAAAAAATGACACATCATTAATTTTAATCTATATTTAAATATACATGAGATAAATCATGGTAATTTGGAAAGATATTGGAGTCCATGGGAAGTCATATAACATTAATGCGTAATTTAAATAATATCTTTAATTTCGAAAACATGTAAACTTGAATAATAGGAAAAATCGGCTCTTTTTTTAAAAAATATATAATATAAATATCTTTTTAACAACAATAAAATAAATGGCAGGTAAAACTCAAAATAGTTCGCTTTCTCAGCGAACTAACCAAATTCTCCCTGTTTCCACCCCTGGACGCCTGCTATTGTGCTTACCTGCTAATCAACGATTTCAAGCACCATAGCTTGGAAATGGTTTGCGCCTTGTTGGAAAATTGCGGCCGTTTCTTGCTCAAACAGCCCGCTACCCGTAGGAGGGCTAAATTTTTGCTCGAGCTCCTTACAAGAAAAATGAAAGCCCTACCAGCTTTGGATGAAAGATATTGCGCTCTAATCGAGAACGCCTACTATCATTGTCTACCACCTCAGTCTTCGACAGCTGATTCCAGGGGTCATTTGAGTGAAAAAATAATGGAGGCCTCCCTGCCTCCTCAGCGCAGGTATCTGAGAAGGCTTCTCTACCACCACCTTAAAGAAGTCAAGGATTATAAGGACTACAAAGATGTCAAAGATTCTGCCATCACAACATCCAAAGACCCAAAACTCGAACAACTACGTCAGCCGCGTTCACTCGATTCTATCGTCAAAGCGCTCCGAAAACTAGATTGGGAAGACTTTAGGGACCCACAAACTGAAGACGATAACCCCGATATAAATTCCTTGACATCTCTGGAAGAATATTTCGTAAAAACAATCCTAGCACTGGATAAATTTTCCTTCGAAGATCTTCCCTTCCTGGCCGATCTCGTGTCACGTTTAGGAGCTTATCGTGGAGACACCATAGGCGTTGCCTTGGTAGATGACCTCTTGGAAATCATGTAAGTATATATATAATTTAAAAACACATTCCTTCTCTCCATTTTGTGTGTATTTTTTTTTCTTTCTTTTTTTAATTGTATATATTATATTACTTTGTTTCAGGGTGAAATAATATATATCTTTGTTTAAATTTATGATTATTTTAAATATTTATTGTACGTTAAATGGTTACAAAGACACCCCTTCCAACCTTACTCGAATTCTGTATCCGACGATTGCCCTCAGATTCTTGTAGCCGCCATTAAATTACTAGGAGAACTTTACAACGTAAGACTGGCTGATACCTGCTTAATTTTCAAGCTCTTGTACTCCTTAATTATTAGCGGCTCAGGCCCTCTATGGCTCGAAACTGACCAAGACAACCTTTTTTCTCTGAGAGCTGCGCTTGTTTTACTTGAGACATGCGGTCCTTATTTTGACCGAGGTAGTATGAGAAAAAGACTGGATTGCTTTTTGATCTATCTCCAGGTTTGGTTTTTGGTATAACACTATATTAATTACCTCTAGGTAGGGCAGGCAATGATAACAAATATTTTATTCATTTAAAATACAAATCGATATAAGTATAAGATATTGGTTTTCAGAAGTAAAACCAATAACTGATAAATAAATCAATACTAATAAACTGTTTTAAAAATAAAGCAAGTATTATTCAAAAATTAATTAATTACAAAATATCTTATATTTTAGATTTTATTCGTCGATATCCTACAAAATATTTCTTCAATATTTGATGTAATAATTATTACTTTAGATAGGGATTTAAATAGTCTTGATCTCTTTTTAACTGTATTTATATAAGTTTAGTATATTATGATGACTATGGAAGCTCATATGCATATGAATTTTTATTTATTTTGAATATCTTAATTAATTTTTTTTTCAAAACTGTATTATATATTATTACGCTTTTTTAGATGTCTAATTGAATCACGAAACCGAAATAAACCATTATAATTTTCCTAACAATTATAAAAAAATTTAAAAAGGAGAATTGAATTGTTATTAATAATTTCTAATTATGGAACTGAACCGTTATATCTATCTGTTCGACACCCTTCCTTTTAGTTAATTTTTAAATATCGAATTTGATATTATTGTAGAAGATGGACTATGTTGAAAATAATTAGAATATGAACAAGGACAATTATCCAACTTGAAAAATAGAAGAAAAGAATATGTAAGGATATGGATTTCTATACCTATATTAATAATAATAAAGAGAAGGTTATATGCAGTAAATGCAAATTTTTTTGGTACTTCTTAACAATGTAGACCCATTTAAAAAATATCTATCATTTATTAGAAGATAAATATGGTATTAAAAAGTTATAAAAATACTAAATCCATTTTAGAAAAATACAAATATTAATAATTATTATTTATTAAAAATAATTCACATACAAATAATTTGTTAAAAACCTAGATATTAAGATTTTAACCAAAATATTATCTAAGCCTCAAAATTTTGTCAATAGATATCTTCAGCCATCAATGGACAAAATCTCCATCTTGTTTAATTTATTTTGGACTAAAATCTTCATTTGGTTAGTTTTCTCTCCTTAAAAAATTTACCAAGTTTCTTAAATATCTTTTTTTAGCTAATAAAAATCTCCTACGTACACCCCACTCCCCAAAAAATGAATATAATATATCAAATTTTATTTTTTAAGTATAAATGAATAATTTTTAAAAATAACCTATAATTGATTTTTTTTATATAAAGGTGAGACACCAAAATTATTTTAATAAATGTTTTCCGGCCATAGGTCTTTGAATATCAGGCCTAAAACATTCCTATAAAATTAATGGCAATAAAAACCCACCAAATGCATTCCCTCTACGAAAACTCTGGAGACGTCTGTAAACGGGAGATGCTATTTTGTTATTAAAGGAAATATTGAAGATCCATATATTTGCATAATTTTTTCATTTACAAGTTAGATGATTGTCCTTGTTCAATAGTGATCTGCATCGGGCCTATTTTTTCAAGTACTGCCCGAACCCGAAATTTTTTTTAAAAGTTTTACCGGCCCTATTTAAATATAGAAATTTATTTTTACACAAAATAATAGATACATGTTATATGACGTCTAGTTTCTATAAATAAAATCAAATATTTTTATTTTACATAAAAAATTTTATATAAAGTTGATAAATTTAGATATATTTAAAAAAAATTTCAAGGCCCAACGACCCGGCCATTTTTTTACCCTTCGGGCCGGGCCTACTTTTGCAGATCTTTAATTTAAGGCTTAATTCTCTATATCTTTGATTTCAATTGTAATATCTTAAATAAATATTCATGAATTTTACTTCCATAAATACAAAATGCCGAACTTATATAATAAATATAGTTAAAACGATTTATTTAATTTTTTTAAAGTAAATGATTATTGCACAAATATACTTCGCTGTAATTTTAAACAAAAATATATCATGGCAGATCAAAAATGTAAGGAAATATTTTTGGCATTATACACGAAATAAATCTAAAAAATTGATATAGTAAAAACCATGAAAATATTAGTATATTGCCAACCCTATCCCTAGGTTGATCAATTTTAATAATAGCTTACTAAATTTTGTTGGGGAATTTACGTTAACGATATGCGATATTTTTAATTTGAACAAATAAACAATAATAGTAAAAGGACTTGCGCCGATTTGCTCATGCTAATAGAAAAATTTAACAAGTAAATAAGTCACCTGTTTCTACATTTTTAACTAAGTAGTTAAGAACTCATTTATTTTATATTTTTATCGATACAAATCTATGATCATTACCTCAAAATATCTTTTCACGAATAACATATATTTTTTTAGAGATTATATTTGGAAAAACGGGAATGGCCTTGCTGGATAGATGACAATGGTGAATCTAAATTTCCAGTCAATTTAATTAATCACTATCGAGACGTTTTGGATATGTTACGGCCGAAATTAAAAATATATGACAGGTTAATATCTTTTCGATTCACGATAATTTTCTTCTTTTTCTTTAATTATGAGATGAGAGTATTAATTTTAAGCGAAATAAACACCCTCCACCCAAATATAATTATTAAAGATTAATGAAATAATATGAATGTTAGGAGGTATAATAACATGACATTTGATTTGAGTAGTAGCTACAACTATGACGAGATTTTATAGCTCTGGGAGTTGGTTTTCGAAACCCATCTTTTGTTCTTTTATTACCACTTTTATATATAGAAATTCGGTTCCAATAATTCCAATTTCTTGTCCTGCTAAAATCATTATATTCTGAGTCATGGAAGTCGGTCAGATTCCCGGTCAATTTTTTTAAAATCGGGCCGGGATTTTATTTCTTAAAAAGAATATGGCCGAACTAGAGTTTGAAAAATTATTAATAATAAAATAAAATAATCTTTTCTTCTATTTTATTAAAATTAAAATAATGATCATAATTTTCCTAAAACGACTCTTATTGACAAGTAAGTTATTTTATCTGATTTATAAAATAATTTATAATATTACTAAAAAAAATTAAGGATTTATAAAAATATATTTAAAAAAAACTGGACAGACATCTCCTATTTTATGCGATTTAAAAGAAGATATTTTAATATAAAAAAATTTAAGTTATCAAGAAGCCGATGGAGCAATTAAAGACATCGAAAAGGAGTACTTGAATCAAATCAAGAGTCAAATTACCGAGGAATCCACTCTACTCCCTTATCTTTCACATCTTTTCCCTGAGTCGGATATCAATGATTTATCAAAGGATATTAATGGCGAAACTGAGTTTAATCAATTATCGACCATTCAGGAAGAGAGTGAAAACTTACCAATCATGCTCGATAACGAAAATGATATTGATAAGGTTGTGAATATGATTTTTTTAAGGGAGAAGAAAAAAAGTTTAGGGAAGGTTGTATTTTTCAAACTATAATGTTTATCTATCATTTAAAATAACTTGTTTTATTTTAATTACATCTTAAATATTTTATAATTTTTATTAAAAATAGTTCGAACCTCCCCAAATTGATGAGATGAATAATCATACTTTAGTTTCATCTCCCATCTTTTACGATAGCATTAGTCCTAAGCTTATGAAATGCCAAGAGGATGAGGATTTTCTTAAATCATTTGATTCTATGATATCGGAATCAATACAGGTATATTTTTATATTTTTTTCACCCATAATGTTTTAACAATTTGTTAATAAAATTAACTGCTAAATTTATCTTTTAACATCCCCCCCCCCTCTTTAGAAATTTTTTATATGTACATTTTATTTCTCATATGATTAATCCTTAGACTAATGAAGGTCACAGCCCAGCCCGCTCCACGTGGGTCCCTGGTTTATATAAATTATAACCCCGGATCGTGACCTTTATTACTTATGTTTTTTTAAATAAATTGTAAACCTAACTCATATTTATAGCAAAGATCTCAAGATACGGTCAAAGTCCAGAGCTTAGAAATTTCCTTACCTGCTAGCATAAAATCAAAAACTTCTAAATTATCTTCAAAATTAGCAGAAGAAGCTCTCGATAATATTAATTCTATTGAAAATTTGAATGACGAAAATAAGGATGAAATAGCAGATCAAAATGGACAGTTACCAGAGAAAGGGGAGGAAAAAATAATGGATTTCGTGTTGATTTATAAGAAAGGTAACAAGCCACACTTCAAAGATATTCAAATTCCTTTTGATGTCAAACTGGCGCGTAGGATTAAGAGTTTCGAAGAGGTATTTGTCTATATTTATTTTTTCGTCTCCATAATTTTTTTTCTTTTATATTCCATTGGTTCCTCCTTCTAAAACTAATTTCTTATATATTAATTTCTTAACTTTGTATTATTTTTTCTCTTCTTGGGTTCTTATCTTAGTATAACATCTTAAAAATTTATTCCACATAAATTTATGAGTTTATTTAGGGCCACACCGATCTATTTTTTTTGTCTGACTTATCTTTGATAAAAAAATTTGAATAATGTGCCATTAAAATGTTTAAAAAAATTACACACATTTTTTTTTATCTTGTAACTCATCAAATGATTTCTTGTGATATCTTACTACATTTTAAATCATGTCAATAAGTAAATCGCAAATACTACATTTCACAAACTAAATCTGTTTATTACCATAATGGACATTTTATTTATATTCTAAAGTTATTTTGATAATAAAACTATAATAATTATCTATAGAATTTTGGGTTATAAAGAGTGTTTAGCCCATTCTAAAATGTTTTTTATAACGATTTTCAAAATTGATATTTAATAATACAAAACATTAGTGCGAATATCGAAAAAAAAACAATAAACTTACGCAATATAAATAAATGTTTTAGAAAACCTATTAAAAACCGGTCTTATCCATTTTAGAGAGAAATTAGCCTCTGACTTTTTTATTAATAAGGTTAATATCGGCGCCTATCCCTTACCAATATAAATATTAATGCAGCCCCTAATAATTGGATTTAATGCTATTTAAGAGATAATATACGTCCTCCTAGCGTTTTGCGTCACTAGGGGATGCTATTGGAGGCTCAAGCCTTGTTAAAATGTCAAAAATACAAATTTTGAACGAAAAAATTTATTTATTTTTAGAAAATTTAAGATTTTGAGCCCCGGCTATTTGAAAAGTCTAGTGGCGCCTCTGGTCTGGCCTTATCCTATTAGAAACTATTTTAGATGCACTAAGAACTATTTCCTAACGATGACGTGCATACTTTTTTCTTTCAAAATATCGGAAACTAAGATAAAATCTTATATCTTGTTTTATACGATTTTAAACTCCTTTTTTGGAAAAATTTACCCAACAAAAAATACATGATAATTTGTCATTGATAAATAAACAAATTGAATTTAAAAATATAAATCATATAATTTTTTATTTATAAAATCAAAGGCCGAAAGAAAGGAAAAGGAACAAATGAAAAAGCTAACACTTAAAATTAACAAACTTCAAGAGGAAGAAGAACGAAAAAGTATTTTTTTTAATGCTAAAATACATTTCCTGTCAAATCAGATTTTGGAAATTTAAAAATGGCTCTTAGCAAATGATTTGAAATTGAGAGATTCCATATCCAATACAAAATATTTATGATCTTAAAACAGAACATATTTTGCTTTTTTAATCATATTTTTGAATTTGATAGCATATCGATTTTTATTATAAGTTTTATTTCCCAATTTTTCTTTTACACTTGATAGACTAAATAATAATTTATATTATTTGTTTTAAAATAAGATGAGCTTCTTGAACTTCAACAGAAAAGCAGTATGCCTATCTTTTTCAAAGAAATCAAAGATAATTCTAAACCTCAACCTTACTTCAATAACTTACACAATAGCTTGACCAAAACTTTGGACGCTGGTAATAAGGGGAGTGGACATTACCATCAACCATACCAATATCAGCACTCGACATACAATGGCAAATGATAAAAATATTTTAGGAATAGTTTAGGATTAATGGCGTTAATATGGGATTACCGGGGAAAACCTAATGTTAACAAAATGGTTATTTTATCTTCGTGATCGAAGACGTGAAATAGACCAAAATATTGATTTTCCTATTAATTTTTTTAAAAAAAATTTTGACATATCTTTTATTTAATCATTATATACTTTTATTTTCCTTTTTTTTCCTTCTAAAAAACGGCTCTCGAAAAAAGTCTCTTAGTTGTGCAGCTTCTCCTTAAAGTATGAGTTATTACTTTTCTTAACTCCATTTGAAATAAAAATTTCACCAAAGATTCAGAGCCATACCGTTTTCCGTTCTTTGATGATTTTATATTAGCCCACTATCATAATCAAATCATATTTCGTGTTTCAACTTGAAAACCGCGATCAGATGCTAAATCGACATTTCGCGCCAAAATTTATAAGAATAAAAAAATTGTATTCGATTTTAATATTTAATCTCTATTTTTAAATGTTTATATATATATGTCTGATAAATTTGCTCTGTAACAAATATTTGTCAAGTGAATATGTTTATAATTAAATTTTAACACGATGACAATGATAAAAGTTTTAAAAATATCGATATTTTTAATCTATACAATAATTAGTTGATAAATATATATAAATCGTATATTTAGCGTTCTAACATATAAAAGCAAAACTGAGGTATTGAATTAAAATTAGGAACCTGAAACGGGTTCCGGAAATGGAACTTTGATGAGTATATGAAACATTTTTAATTAATAAAATTTTTTATAAAATAGGTATAATTAGATATTTTTCAGGAACACGTTCTAACTTGGAACGGAACATATTTTTTTGACTGGAATAGGAACTCAAAATGCATTTGGTTCGTTCTATGGTTAAAACTTTATGATATCGTATGTATGAGTTCAAAATTAAAAAAAAATTTAGATATAAAATTTTTTATTTATTAATAAATTTTTTTTTAAAGTGTGTTCTATAACCTTATTTTATTTTTTTTTAAATAACAATATTTATAAATAAACTACACTTATAACATGCATATATTATATTCTTTTTAAGGTAAATATAAACTAGTAAGTATACCTAATTATTTTAATTATTCACATTAAAAATAAGAGTTATATAATCGGCTTAAAAACTAAAAAAAAATTTTAAAAACCTAATCATAATACATAATAAAATTATGAAGCTTTTATTCACTGAAGTCTATATGCGCCCTGTAAAGTTTTCTTAAATTTACATTTAGATATGGACGAAATTTAAATAATTTTAAATAGAATCTCATGCATTGATTGGCGATTATAAATATAATTTAGTATTTCGAACTTCAGATTATAGCATATAACTTCATTAAATATTTCATGCCATGTAGTAATTTAATGCAAATTTTTAGGTGCTTATTTAATTATTTTCATTAAAAATGGCAATACTAATCTCATTTTTCCTACTAAATAATTTTACATGTTTTTTGATACAAATACATATTTAATTAATAATTTGTTCAGTTTAATATAATATACTATATATGCTTAATGGATGTTAGAGAATCATTCAATATTTTTAATCCTGATATGACTTCAAATTTTTTAAAACTTATATAATAGGTTTAAGTGATAAACTTAAAATAAAAATCCAGGAATGAGTACAGCCTTCCGTTTTATGAATTGTCCTTACATCCACTCTAAGTGTATATTAAACTATTCCCGTAGTATGCTCTTCAAAAAAAAGTTATTGGATACCACACTTGATATGAAAGATAATGAAATCAAAGCTCATAGACTAATTTTAGCCTACAAATGTAATTATATTCATCAATTTTTGGAAAAAACGTGGAAAGAAATATTGTCTATATCTTCTGATATGGTATTTAGAGACGCTGTTATCTCGGTCGATGTTTCTTGTGAAAAGGAAATAGTAGATTTAATAATAAATTACCTTTATACAGGGACCATCATTATAACCGAATCAAACGCTTGTAAATTATATCAATGTTGTAAAATATTTGAACTTAATTCACTTGAAAAATTGACTATATCTAACATTATAAATTTTATTGATGACCAAAACGCCTTAGAATACTTAGGGAGAGACATCTCGGATAATGTTAACAACGCCGCTTTAGGGTATTTATGTAATAATTTTCAGAGGATTACATCAACAAAGGAATTTCTCGAATGTTCATTGACTACACTTGAAAAGCTTATCGACGAAGATGATATAAAAACAAGGAAAGAAATTGATATCTTCGAATCTGTTGTCAGGTGGTTGGAATTTTCTGTGGATACAAGAAAAATATATAGCAACCAAGTCTTTAGCCATATAAGATTTTGTCTAATGTCAACCGATGAATTGATTCAAGCATATGATATTGGGAAGATATTCTTTGATGATAAATCAAATTTAGATTTCTTAGTTGAGGCCGCTTGGTAAAAATGATAAATACTTATTATGAGTTTGAAATAAAATAAAAAATTTGTTTATAACAGGTATGTAACATGCAAATCGGCCAATGTTCAACTGATACCATTTATTAATCCTGCAATAAAACCGAGGAAATTTTTGAACTCATTTCTTAAGGAAGAATTATAATTTATTTTATCTATAAAATTTTAAAGAAAAAAATTGTAGTCTTAAAAATGTGTATATGTCTTGCCATCAATATAAAAAAATATTGATAAAGAATCATTTACAAACAATCTAATTGATCCACATGCCTAACATGTTCTATATTTGGGTAAAATTTATAATGTATATGGTGAATTCCTTGACGAATAAAAAAAATCACGATTTTCAACCCTACCCCTTTCAGATTTTTCTAAAATTTTTACAAGAGTTTGTTATTTAAAAAAAATTAAATTTTAACCTCCAACTTCAATCTACGGCTGAGGTATGGGGTTCTAAATTAATGAAGGTCAATGGTCCGTCCTATAGGTTGTTTCTAGAGTAGTTTTTTTTTTTTGTGAATTTTTAATTCACTTTTATTTTGCAATATGAAAATTATATATGTTTTTCAAAGAATCATTTTACTTATAGTCCCAATAAACAAGAATTAAATTAGGTAAAAACAAAAATATTTTTAAAATACCAAAAAAATAAAAATATCAGTTTTTTTATTTAGGACAACGGGTTGGATCGATCTTTTTATATTAGGATCGTGACCTTCACTACTTTAAATGCTCAAAAATGGAGCATTTTGTGCAAATTACTTTCCCTTTAATTAAAAATACCTTTGGATATAATGAACTAGAAGCGTCATTTAAATTTTTTTATATAGCCTAATAGTAGACCTTTAAAATTATATAAATGTTAACAAATTTTAAATGTCAAAAACAGGAAATGAGCATAAAATCAAATATGTATTTTTTTATCACATTTTTTTATGAATAGTTGGAAATAATTAATAAATATGCAAAATTTCAAAAAGGGCCTAGCAAAGGTTTAGGAATGGTATTTTTATAATTAGTCTATTGTCAATATTCTTAATAAATATTTGATACTAATCAATAATTCTAATATAGATTAAAAGCTATCAAATATTTTAAGTTTAATATTTAAAAAAATAGTCATTTAAGATATCAGGGAATTGCAGGAAGAGATATTGTGCAATACAATCTTGAAAATCTTTAATGGGAAATATATCATTATACGTTAATTGGGCAAATTTTCCCGTTCAACATTAATTAATTTTTATGAATAGTGCATATTCACATGGCACGGGTTCTTGGTCCAACTAGGACACAATATTTTGGTCTTAAATTATAAAATTCACTCTTATATCACCATATATTTCTTTAAATTTAGAATATAATTCCTAAATAATATATATGTAAATAAAATGTTGCTGCCATTTATGTATAAAATGATGCTGCCATCTATATATATTAATTTTAAAATGATGCTGCCATGTATTAATATTAATTTTAAAATGATTTATTCAATGTAGCATTATATATATTATACCATGCATTAAATCATATCTTACCTATATATTAAAGATTTAATTATGTGTGTATGATATATATTTAAAATAAAATGATGCTGCCATGTATATTAATTTTAAAATGATTTATTCATTGGTTTAGCATTAAATTATATCATGTATTAAAACATATTTTGGTTCTTACCTATACATTAGAGGTTTAATTATGTATGATATATTTTATTATATTAATTATTAAATAAATTCAGAATAAAATTTAAGAATTAGGATTTTAATTAGATTGCCTTAATATATAAATAATTTAATGACTTATGTTTAAATTTAGGTTAGAGTTTTAGCTTATCAAATGGCCAAGAGGTATAGTTTACAATACCAAAATCTTGGGAAATAACTCAATCAGCTGGTGAAGACTAGGTTGGAGCATTTATTAAAAGAAATCCAACTATTTCTTTGAAAACACCAGAGGCTACAAGTATAGCCAGGGCTACCAATTTTAATATGAAAATGGTTGATTTATTTTTTAATAATTATTTGACTGTCACAAGGGAAAATAACTTTCTACCATGTGATATATATAATATGGATGAAACTGGTTAATTAAAATATATATGATAGCAAATCTTTAATATTTTCATAGGATTAACAACAGTTCAACGGCCTAATAAAGTTATTGCAAGGAAAGGCGAAAAACAGGTTGTGGCAATTACTACATCAGAATGTGGTACACTTATGACCTTGGCAATTGCTGTCAATGCTCTAGAAAATTCTATTCCACCTATGTTTATATATCCCAGGAAAAAATTTTATGATCATTATTTAAGAGATGGCCCTGTAGGATGCATTGGCGTGTCTAATGGTTCTGGGTGGATGCTGGCTGAAGATTTTACGAGTCTTTTCTGCAATTGGCACTTCTCCACTTTAACCTTTATTGAAAATAATGGTTTTTAACAGGCATTTTACGACTGTTTTCATCGGAATTGTGGTTTTTCAATAATATCTATTATATCGTCTTGTAAAACACTCCTTCAGGAAGTACATTTCTTAGACTTTCACAGCATGTTTATTCAAATTGTGCGAATTATAAGAACGAAGTAAATATATTATATAATTTAACAATTCTTTTATTTAAATATATAATAATTTTACCTTATATATTTTAAAATTAATGATTTATCAAATATTTATTAGAAATTTTTACAATTAACTAATGATTAAAATGCCATATCCTAAACCTAAACTCGGCCCAACTTAAAATTTTGAATATTTATTAATTATTTCTATAGCTATTCATAAAAAAATGTAGATTTGATTTTATGATCATTTCCGACTTTTGGCATTTACAATTTTTAAACAATATTTAATATTATATAACTATAAAGGTCTACCATTAGGCTATATAAAGTAATTTAAATGTCGCTTCTAGCTCAATTATATTAAGAGATATTTAAAATTAAAGGAAGAGCATTTTGCCGAAAATCTTATACTTTTTCGACATTTAAACCCCATATTTTAGCCGCTTAGTAAAAATTCTAAAAAAATATAAGGGGGTTGGGTTGAAACTCATTAGCGTAGTAAAATCTTTAAAAAAATATAAGGGAGTTGGGTTAAAACTCATTAAATGCATTTTAAAGTGCCCATACACGGGAGTCAACCGTAGAGCCATTTTGTTTGTTTTCATGTCAATTAAACGACATGAATATAATTACATTACACTTATAATTATTGAATCGCTAATCTAGTAGTATTTACATAAGATTGGGTCAAATATCTTTTGCCAGAGTTAAGTCAACACAATTAACATTATCTTAAAGTTAGTGATGCAAAATCGCTCCATTTAAATCGATTTTTCAAAACGGCTAACTCAAAATTTTAGCCAGAAAAATATCGCGTGAGCCTGAAGATTTTGCTCATAGATGGCACCAAAGTTTGTCCATTTATTTGAGAAATCTCAAGGCTTAGCCAATATTTTTCTGGGTAAAATAATGAGTTTGCCATTTTTAAAAAGCGGATCAAATATAAGGATTTTGCATCACTAAATTGCACCATACGTAGGAGTCCGCACTGACGAACCAAACGGGCATGGATTTTGCATCACTAAATTGCACCATACGTAGGAGTCCGCACTGACGAACCAAACGGGCATATTCTTCCTGGAAAAAATGGAAAATAATGACTATTTATTGCTGAGATCTTGTTTAATGGATTATATTGATACATTTTCCGTTATTTGAAATTCATCCAGATATGGAGGATTTATCACTAAAAACGGTTCCCCGAAAAAAAATGTGAAAGAAGGTAGTATTGATAATTAAAAAAAAATTATTAGGCGATTTTATTATAACGATATTAATTTTATAGAAGAGGCAAATCACAACACTAAGTTTTTTCTAACAATGAAACTTTTTGATAGCACTAGAAAAAAACGTGCGCCCCCTCCCCTCCCAGAATATTGAGCGCCCTTGTCAATAATTTAATCTTATATTATGTATTCTGAGATCTAATTAAAAGATAATAAAATTATTGTAAATAACGTAAGAACTATGTCGTATACTCGTTCCGTTAAATTATTGAAGTCATTTTCTTATTTTTAAGCATTCTTTCTATCTTTTTTTATTTATTCTTATGTTTTTCTTTCATTAATGTTTTTCTCTCCATTTGCTCAGACAATGGTTTAATACTAAAAATAAAATAGCATTTCAAGTCAATATTTTTAAATGGAGCCTAACAGTTGGGACTACCAATATTGGGCGGAAAAATCCAAAGGCCGTATAGTGAGAGCTTTGGCCAAGCAATTCTTTATACAGGACCTGAATAAAAAGTTAGAACTCGAAACTCCTAATTATTTGGAAGAAAATGTGCTCCTCAAAAGATTACTCGAGATCGAAACCAGCCAAAAACATTTGGAAAAGCTATTAAATACTCAAATGAAAAAATTGAATGTCATCGAAAGAAGTAATAAAAATTTTTTTTAATGTTATTTACCAATTGCCATTATACAATAAATAGCATGATTTTAATATTTATACATTAGTTAGATTTTTTTATAAATGTTAGGCATCGGAACAAATCGAGAATCCGCAACAATAACCCCTTTTAAAATTATATGAACGGGAATCTCTAAAAGTGTTACTAAAAAAACTAATTCATTTTTTTTTAATTGGCAAGAAGTTTGTCATACTTTTAAAATTAATAAATTTTTAAATATTAAGTTTTCGTTATATAATAATTTAAAATTGATAACTACTTCTGAAACTGATGTTCCACCAGGAGAAATAAGGCCATAAGGGTAGTCAGGGGAGGAGCAAGGGAAAATCCACTCTTCGGAAATTTGCCTGTTCTCATAAATATCATTTTAACCTAATAAAAACTTTATCTCTCGACATCTCTCTCATCCATAAAGAAATACAATATATCACTATAAACATGAAACGGAAATAAAAATTGCTAAAGGTTAATTATTTTTAAAAATAACGATTATAAATCAAAATTTTTAGAAAAAAATGTAATCCAAAAATTATTTTTATAAAAATTTAATATATTACCGATTAACGTGACTAAAGCTCACAAATATATAATGGTTAGATATGACAGTTTTATAAATCTCTCGTATCATCTCACGTTTTTTTCCAACCTTAACACCCAAGAATTAGGTTTTTATTAGATAGTCAACAATTTGTTTACTTCATCAAATAATCCCAAACAAGTATGAACGGAATTGTAAACTATTTGGAAATGTTGAAAAATCTCTCATTCATATAATTCACTAGATAACTCAATACCTCATTTTAACTAATTATTTTTTTAAATTAAATATATTAAGTTTTGAGAACGTTCCACATCCAATTATATTTAATAAAAAATATTTCGCCATAAAGTTTTATATCTTTTGGTATTCTCCAGTTTTTTTACTATACTTTGAAATAGTAAACTTCAGCAATAGTTTTTTTCTCATAATTTTGAACTCCATTAAGAGACTCCCTTTTTCTATACCTTTTTAATAATCAGTATCATGAGAAATATAGCTCCCAAAGACCGACGCCGTATCTAAAATATTGAGATCAGATCAATTCTATGAAAAAGGTTCTTATATATTAAAAAATGCAGTTCAAACGACTATATATATATAAATATCTAAAAATTTAATTTATCATATTTTTTTTTATATTTCGCATTCTTTAAAATTTTTTTTATTTATCAAATTTAATGAATACATGGGCGCCCATATGGCCTGGTTGGGCTATGCCCCCTACAAAAAAATGTATAATTTTATTGCTTTTGAATCCTGCTCTAATGATTTCGATGTATCTTTTGAGTTATTCGAGTTTCAATAGTTTTTATTAAAAACGGTATCAAATAACTAGTTTTATAAAAGAGGCAGATTCGTTTGATATATGATGAAACAAAAATAAATAAGGTTTTCAGTTATGATAGTTTAATTTATATACCATTTTCACTGTACATTAAGTGTTTTACAGCAATAAACAAACGAGGCTTATTTGATAGCGTTTAACCAAAAAAATATATATAGCCACTTCCTGGAAAAAAGTGTATGGATATTTTTGTATGAATTTAATAAACAGGATAACTTTAATTATGTGTAGACCTGTGCGCCGACGAAACTATCGGTGGCCGGCGCAATTTTCAAAAATCTAATCGGTGGCTGGCGGCGCACCGATTTTTAGCCGCCGTCAATAAAATCGGCGTAAATCGGCGCAGTTATAAATTTTTATAACATAATTTTTTTTAATTGCTTATTAATTTTTTTTAAAAAAACAAATAAATGTACACTATTCAACAGATATCTCGGCATATTTTTTAATATTCATTTAATAGAAAACTTATTATATGCAAAATCGATTTCGTAATTTTATAATATCTTGTATAAAAATTATTTTATTTAAATTTTCGGGACATAATGATGATCTCCTTGAATTTAACGTCAATCCCGCGGTTAAGAAAACTCTTTCACTGAGTGTGCTAGTCGCCGGAATGCATAGAATTTTTTTGTCGAGACTGGAAAGATTGGGAAGTTCACTCTTCTTTTCTCTCCAAAAATTTAGAACATCCATATCTTGTGAATGTCGTTTTCCAAGAAAACTGTGGCATTCTTGTTCTAAGTCACCTAACTTGGAATCATAATTTATATTTGTTGAATGTTTATTTGACAATTTTGTTGAATGTTTATTTGACAATTTTGTCAAATAACTTGAATTTAATAATTCATCCTCATTAGCGATATTTACTACCTGATTATCATCATTCACTATAAGTTTAAGATGTTTTATTATAAATTCTGAAGCTGAGCAATTTTGTTCTATTATATACTTTGACACAATTGTCAATTTTTAAAATCTTGGATCTAAAACAGAAGCCAATACCTAGATAATTTTAAATAAAAAATAAAAGAATATACTTATATAATATTATTTGCAGATTACAAACAGGAAATCGTAACGAAAGTTTTTTTAGTATATTTTCCTTAAGTGAAATAATTTCAGAACTATCACTATCATTTACTATTAAATGTGTTTCAATTTCACTTCTAAAAAGTAACGCCAAGTTTAAAATAGGCCCTTTTTGTACTGAAAGAAATTCGACAGTTTCTTTAAATTTTGAAAGAAATGCTAATAGTTCTTCTACCAGATCAGATTCATAATTTGAGAAAGTGCTTCCCAATTCTTTTCAAAACATTATTAATTAAATCCTTATTTAATCCAGATATGCTTTCAGCATAATTAATATACTATGCCAACGTGTTGGGCTTGGGACATTTAATTTTAAGTTTTTCATATACGTGGAATTATTGTTATTATTATCATTGGAATTGCCAATTTGAAAACGGGTACTCGGGTATGGATCAATGCTGTCAAGATCTAACATGTCTAATGTTAAATCTAATGTACTTAGACATTTTCTTTGATATTCCTCGAATTCAAATTCAACTTCTGCAGTTGAGCAGTAATAATTTCTCTAATTCTTTTGCTAAAAATTTCCAGACCATGAATTTTTTATTATCCAGAGTTAGGATACTAAAATTATTTATAGAATTATTAAATGTAGATACATCCATTTTAAAAATATGTAAAATTATTGTAACTTTTGGAATTTTAGATTGAATCAATTCTATAATGAGTCAATATAATTATGATTTTAAAATAGTAGAAAATAAAAATTCATCAAAATCCTGATTGACATTAAAAAATTACAAGAATGATGTTGACCAATTATTAGAATAAAAAGGTATAAAACGACGTGATTTTCTTAAACAGCGGCATTTTCGACGTAACCAAAAAAGGTCGGCCGGCGCACAGGTCTAATTATTTGTAATAAAAACTAATATACTACCACAATGATTTTTGATTTTCTCGCTTCATTAAAATACGCCAATGGATTAGTAGACACAAATATATGGTCTCTTGATGATTGGAATTAGAGATCTGCAAAGTTAGGCCAGGCCCGTACCCGGCTCGAACGGGCTTCGGGCCGGGCCATTTTAAATAATCGGGTCGGGCCGGGCCGGGCCTAATATTTAAAAAAAATTTGGGCCGGTCGGGTCGGACCTTGGGAATTTTTTAAAATATATCTAAATTTATCAATTTTATATTGAATTTTTTATGTAAAATAAAAATATTTGATTTTATTTATGATTTTATTTATTGAAACTAAACGACATATAACATATGTCTTTTATTTTGAGTAATTATAAAAATTAATTTCTATATTTAAATAAATTCGGGCCGGGCTTGGTTGGGAAATTTTATTAAAAAAAATTTCGGATTCGGGTAGGGCCGGCAAATATTTTTGAAAAAAATTTCGGGCCGGGCTTGAAAAATTAGGCCCGATGCAGATCACTAATTGGAATACCCATCTAAAATTTTCGCCCCAAAACAGATATTTTGAGGAAGTTGGTTGAAATGTCCCAAATTGGCTATCAAAAATTTTGACAATTTTTTTAGCCTAAAATGAGTCATGCGTCGCAATATATTAATTTTTGATGCATAAACTTTTATTTGATACATAAATTATAATGATCGAAATATTATGAAGTTAATTAAATGGAGAATGAGGTCAACGCATACTCTTCTTCTATAATGATATCACTCTTTGCTTATGATATATTTTCATTTTCTAAAATTTCAGGAGTTGAAAAACTGGATGATTATATGTAATATCAATAATTTTATGTTGTAAATATAAATTGCATTTTATTGAGATTAACTTCTCAACACGTTCCAAAATAAAACCAAATTCTCTCCAAAACAGCAGCATGATAAGTCTTATAGCGATCATTCTTTACAACATATCAAAGAACATGCTTTGCACTTTCCCATATTTCCATGTTTTAAACTACTCTTTGATCGAAATTCTGAGAGATTGGCTAAAACTCCGATATCAAGATTCTATTCTGCAAGTAGAGCATTGACGGCAGCTTTGCCAGATGTATCTCAACATTAGTTAGTACAAAAATATTGAAATGAATATCAAATATTTGCCGCGAAATGAATATTCTGACAACAAAACTCTTTGCGTTATCTCACTCGCTAATATATATTTATGATCACTTTTGTCAATAAAATTCATCATTGTTTTTTTAATGTTGAAATAATGGAAAATAAATCCGGGACTTAAGATACATTCGATTTATTACTTTCTAATCAAATCTGGGTATAAAGCTCAGTTTAAAATATTCAGTTAGTCTTTATAAGGTAATCAAAAATCAGCTGATATAAAAATCATAATATTGTGATATGGAATATAAATCTTTTTGTAAGTATTTAATGTATTTTGAATTTTCTTAAATGAATATTCAAATATTAGGGATTAATAGTTGGAAATTTTAAAGAAAATTTTGAATTTGTTCCCAGGAATATACCCGAAATTCCCGGATAGTAACTGAAGTCGCTCTAATTACTTAGTTACTTTTATTATAAATGAGGAAATGATTTTGAAGTTTCAAATCAATATTGAAAGAAAATTTGAGGCTCCGGATAAGGATAATTATTTTTAGCCAATTAAAAAGCAAACAAAATTTGAAGATAAACCCAATAAATGTAAGGTGAAGCTTTTCAGAAGTGACAGTGTTATGAATAGCGTTATTATTCAAAAATAGTAACGGGTAACTCAAACTTTACTTTACACTTCAATCATTTGTGTTATATTACCTAATATTAATTTAAATATAAAAAAACAAATATAAAATGGAGTTTAAAAAAACAACTGAGCATAAAAGAAGCACTATTCAGTTTCTTTTTTGGGGAGGGGTATTGTTAAAATAAGACATCTAGAGAGATTAGTATCAAGGCTTATTCTTAAGATTCTAAAAAAACGCCTTTATTATAAAAATATGTCAAATAATTCGGATTATGAACGATCAAATATCAAAATTCTTCTCGAGAAAAGATAAATCTTTAGAAAAGAAAACTTTAACAATTTCCAATGATCACATTTAATACACCCCCCCCCTGCTATCCTCACCCCTTATTGAACAGGTGTTCAGTATCAGTATACACTAAGAGATAAATGATCTAAAACTTTAAAAATTATATTTTTTAAAATGATACCCAATTATTTATTTATTTAAATTTTGGGATTTGTGTAATAAATATGTATCTATTGATGAAATAAAAGGAAAACAATTTCAACCTTTTATATATAAACCGGTTTCAATACCTTAAAAAAAAGTATGGCGATATTTTTTGAATAAGTAACGTAGTTACTATTTTATAAATGTAACGCAAAATTTATTGGCCGTTACTTTTTTGAAGTGTAACGCAACTTCTCAATTGTAAATTTGCATAAGTAATGTAATTCGGCTTAAAAAAATGACGCTTCTTTATGCATCTTTTTCGCAAAATACAGAATTTTCCCAGATTAATTTTTTATGTAAAAAAAAGCTTTACACAGAATTGAAGATGGCATTCAAAACGTGGATAGAAAATATACAGTAAAACCGCTAGAATACATTGATAAAATTCAAATAACGGGACCAATGCATACTACATCTATACCGCCCTCGTTTAAACCACAACAGAACCAAAAAGTAAAAGCGAATGATATAAATAATGGTCCATGCTGGGATGATGTGATGCTAGAGATGATAGCTAAAAGATCTCAACTTAAAAAGGTTACAAAGTTTATTTTTTTAAAAATTCACTTTTAAATAGTGAGGTGGAATATATAAAATAAATCCTACGATTTAAATATAAAAAAAATTCAATTATCCTAAAGCATTATTTTAGTCCAGCAGCGTCAATTGATCCAAAAAAAACTTCCAGTCCCTAATTTCTATTGAATTCCTTGTTTTTAAGTTTATAAGAACCAGTAAAAATTAAATTTTCTATCAACCCAAGATTATTTTGGATCAGTTGAGGGGTATATTTTATTGCCATTCATTTTTTAATAATTATATTTTGGTTAAATTATTATAAAATTGTCACTCAATTTTTTATATTACTTTATTTTATTGTGAAATTAGATAAAAGTAGGGGAGACTTAAAAAGCGATCCATGTCCGTGAAAACTCTTTCAAAGTTAGATTATTTTTTTAAAAATTTTAATTAGTAGTATAAATTTAATATATTCAAGTAATATATATTATAAAATTATATAAAAATGATTCAAGATTTCTGAATCAACAATGCTTTCCTCTTCATCCATCCAGAATATTTTTCCAGCGCCGATCTTATCATTAAGGACATGTGTTCAGTGGCCTTCAAATATTTAATTAATAATTAACATAAAATAAAAGGATATATTACATCTTATGAATATTAGTTTGGTTTTATAATCATCCCAATAAACCTCAACAATCTTGTATTATATATGTGTTATTATAATATTTAAAATGTTTTAAAATAATTTTTTTTAGCATATAAAGAGACCAGAAACATTAGCAAAGCAAAAAATTAATTAAAAAAATATATGAATCAGAGAGAGCTTTTGCATGTTGCTAATCTTATTTTGATAGTAAAAGGTGAAGTGAGATTGAAGAAAATACTAGCATGATAGGCCAGCATAATAAAAAAGCAAAATCCTTTAAGGTAAATAAAATAAAAGATGATGGCTTGAAATAAAAAACATTAGTTGACAAGACAGACCAGTAAGATTATGGGCCAAGTGGTATAGTAATAAATTCAATTCGATGTGCTGTAAAAAAATTAGTTCACAAGAGATGTGGTAATACAAAGGGGGGGGGGGGGGAGAGAGTAAAAAGTATGTAATTATTTGTAAGTGTTTAGTCAATGGATGAGGGTGTTTTCTATTCTATAATTGAATATGGGGGATGGAGTTGCCTTATTTTTTTCTAGAAAATTTTTCTTATTTGGGAATATGATTGATGTGGTGGGAGATAATGATGCATCTCGAGTTTTGAGGGTGGGGTGCGAGTGTGAAAGGTTTCAGAAACACCAGTTCTAACCTAAGGGAAAAATTTATTATGAAATCGTAAGTATTTGTCCGAATATACAGGTAGAACGTTGGCTTTAAAATTTGTTAAGTTAAAGAAATAGCAGTTGAGAATGATCAGATGACTAGGTGGTGTGTCACTGAGCACTGAGAGAAAGGAATACAACTGCGGTATTTAAAAAAGAAATAATTAGAAGGTGATCGGTCGTCATTTGGCAATTACTAAATTTGACTTGATTATGCAGATAGTTACATTTCTTTAATTTATATAAAAAACTTTGATATGAGGATGAGGCGAATTTTTGACGGTTTCTTCGATGCCTTTAATCCTAATAGCATAAAAATTAGTCAAGCAATCCTTCATCCTCTCCAATTTTTTATCGAGGGCAGAAGTGGTGACGGGAAAACAGGCATAAAAATGTCTCAGAAGTTCATTCAGAGCTAGGTAGGCTCGTTTGAGGTCCAAAATTATTTGAGGCGGAAATAGTACTGGATTTGTATTGTAAAGGGTTAAAGTTTAAGGAAAACGAATATCGTAAATTATATAAAAGTACACATGTATTAAAAAATATGAATAAAAAAATAGTCTTAATAGTTTGTCCAGGGTTAAAATGAGTACTTTTTAGATACGATACTATTTGATCTAGGGGCAAAATAATTTAATATTTTGATTAAAGAGAAAATGGATTAATGCCTAAATAATTTTAAACCAGTCGTATTTATGACAATTAGAGATCTGCAAAATTAGGCCGGCCCGTACCCGGCCCGAGTGGGCTTCGGGCCGGGCTTAATTTTATTTAAAATAATCGGGTTCGGGTCGGGCCTAATATTTTTAAAAAAATTCGGGCCGGGTCGAGTCGGACCTTGGAAATTTTATTAAATATATCTAAATTTATCAATTTTATATTGAATTTTTTATGTAAAATAAAATTTTTTGATTTAATTTATTGAAACTAAACGCTATATAACATATGTCTTTTATTTTAAGTAATTATAAAAATTAATTTCTATATTTAAGTAAATTCGGGCCTGGCCGGGCCGGTAAATTTTTTTAAATAAATTTCGGGTTCGGGCCGGGCCGACAAAACTTTTTAAAAAAAATTTTGGTTTCGGGCCGGGCAAAACTTGTTTAAAAAAAATTTCGGGCCGGGCTTGAAAAATTAGGCCCGATGCAGATCACTAATGACAATATTACGAGCGAGAATACAAATATCAACTATTCATTCATGATTATTAAGAATCAGCTGCATTTAGAAGTAAAAAACTTGGTGATATACCTGATTGTAATTATATATATAATATGTAAATAATAAATTCGTATTAAATTCCTATAATTTATTCAGTGGTTAGAGAATAATTAAATAACATGTTTAACAAGCTAACACTAATTGTGTTTGAGAATAAATTTAATTGTGGTTGATTTAAAAAGGATAATGGATATTTGCCTATTAATTAAATACTTGTAAATACTAAATACCATAATTCTTTTTAAAAAAATTAATAAAAAAAGTAATTTTTAATATATAAGAAAAACAAACTTGCGATATCGATTTCTTGAAGCGATGAGTTTTCGACCAATTTACCTCCGGGGGATAAATCGTTCATTACTAGAGTGGAATACTTTGTGAGTGTAGCTTCCTATTTATAATTAAAATAGCATTTTAAATGAGATAACTTACCTACTTTAGAGGGTGGTCCAACTAATAAGCAAAATTAAATTTGTGTGTAAATAAAAATTCTTACACCTGAAAAAAAGTATATTATCCATACAAATAATATTTTATGTATACCAAGAGATAAAAGGTTATGGTTATTCTTAACCCTCTATTGCGTGCTCTCTCAAAAAATTTAATTAAATGATTAAAATTATATTTCCCTAAAAAATTTTTTATAAATCATTTAGATTTTTCATTATTTTATAGCATTGATAAATATTAGCATTTATTATAGAAATAAAATATTTAAACAAATAGGCCAAGAAGAGCGATCTTGAAAAATTAAATTTCCTAAAGTGTATAAATATGCCAATATTTATAGTGGATAATCTGGTGCGGGACCCGCCAATGCCAAAAGGCACTGGAGGACCCGTGGCAACGCCGGGCATGTCTTTTAAACTTTAATGTATATTAATTATTCAATAAAATCATACATAATTGGTTTATGATCGCAGCTGACAGAGTAAGAATGTGCGAAAGTTATTAACAAAGTTTAAGCGATAAGTATTGGGTTCGGAAATTTTTGGTAAGTCTGGGTAAGGTCATTACACAATATTTTTAAAAAAGTTAATTTGATAAAAAGTGAGGATTTTAACATTGTGGCAAAGGACTTTATTTATGCTTGCCCCCTTACTTGAAAGTTTCCGAACCTGGTTATCAAAATGTACATTAGCGATTATCAGGCGCGTAACCAATGGGAGGGGGGAGGAAATTTTACCTCCCCCCTTCCCATCGCAAATTTGACTTCATAAATACAATTTTAAGCTACGTCAAAATTTTGCAATGTCAATCAGGTTTATTTTTGTTGCTAGTTGTATTAATAAATATTTTCCTATAGCTAATTACTTTGTTGAAATTTACAAAAACCAAATTTAGATTTGGTTCAGGTTATTGATTTGGCGGCATAGTATAAACAGGTAAATAAGAATGAATGTAGATGAATATTTCTATAATATTTATTTAGACGTTGAATAGAAAGCTAAATCTTATGATACAACACTAATTAAACCTCGTCAAGCACCTTGGTAATTGCTGTAATATAAATGTTGGCTCAACTGAAGAATATTATAAAATATCCATTTTCATTCCATTCTTAGATATTTACTTTTTTATGGCAATTTAAAGTACGCTTTTTAGATAAAAAAAGAGAAAGTCTTTAGCAATCTGGAAAATAAAATTTAAAAAATTAATATAATTATTATTGAATTATGAATAATTTAAAAGAATAGTTCCAAGATATGACCGGGCCGAAGGCCAGATAAGAATTTTTCCCCTATAAGAAAAATCTGGATACGCCACTGAACTATAGTTTTTATTTAATTTATTATACAATAAAATTATAACGCTTATGTATATACAAGAGTAATCTATCAATTAATGTAGGAGGGGTGTTGTAACGGTATTGTCCTCCGGAGTGTCATATAGCGTCACATTCAACGTTTCATCGAATATGGCTGGGTCGAAGCCCCTCTCTTGCTATTGCATCATCGTTTAGAGCATCGACTTCATCTATCAGATGGATGGGAGTTGAGGCTCTGATCCAAAGAAACGCGTCCTCGATCTTGGGCAATCCTTCAGTGTCTATGCCATGGAAAATGCTATGAGCCTGTTCGTTTCCTCTTGCCAAATGAACGAAATCCAAAAACCCGATAGAGAGCATGATTCTCGTTATCAAGTGCTCACAGGCTGGGGACCTCGACCCTCCCTATTTCACTATCGTGTAGGCCACTTGACTATCCGTGACGAGAGAGGATATCGTTTTGTAATTGTTGAGACCATATTTAGAACCCACCCAGATGGCTAATACCTCCATCTGGTTGATGTGCGGTGTTGCTAAGTCTGGTATCCCAAGCGCGTGTTTTGCTTCATTGAAGGTAAATGAATATTTGTCCTCTAACGCCTCCGCAACTCCAATGTGTGTAGGTGACGCGTCGACATGGATCACCACATTGATTGGGAAGAGGAAGGGGAATGGTTTTATCAGGGTCGCTATCGCGACCACTACCTTCAATCGGTGGGGCTTCTTCATTGTTGAGCATGGTAGCATAGTACGGTGCGAAAACCCTTTATAGCCCGGTTATAGAGTATGTGTAAAGATTAAGTATTCCTAACACTTCCAGAACGATATTACACTCGATACTCATCGATTGTAAAGAATACTTGTATAATATCAATTGACAAAATCGCTAGCTTTGTTCTCCCTGTCCACAAAGCTGTCTTTGTGATAAAGTTGATATCGATGACAAGATAGGTAATCTCGCCTGTAGGAACCAGAACCGATTTTGTATAGTTCACCACTAACCCGCATGTTGTCATGTCCAAAAATGATATCGTATCTTGGAGTACTACGTGATTATGGAATGGAAGATGATGATATCATCCAGAAATACCGAATAGTTTGCATTTTTAAGACTTCGCACAGAGATCTAGTACAACATTTTGCAAGGCATACAGCAAGAATCCTGCTTTCATCGGTAAGGTTTGTATCGATATTTAGCGCTTGACGTGGCGAATCCTAAGAAGCGTCGTCTGCTTTGCGCAAGAGGGATTGAATAGAATGCCGATTTTAAATGGATCTTAGTAGCCTTGTTGGCTAACGCTAACATGGGGGCTATCATTGGGATCGTTTTAAGACGAAAAGAATACTTGATAAAATTTCTAAGTACATTTGAAAACTCTGATATGACCCTCGGTGTGCCGTTTTGCTTGGGTATCAAGAACAATGGTGAGCAGACAGTGGTGTCGTTCTGTTTGATCACTCCCGCTTCTACCAACTGGCTGATAATCGGGGTGTATTTCGAGGCCAATCGAATGAATCGATTCTTGAAGTATCCTACGTGGTCATTGATAGCCTGATTATCGAACTTTGGACAGAATCCCAGCAACGCGATTTTCTTTGTAAATGGTGATTGGGAGGGGTGGGCTTGAAAATTGCAGATAGATTTAATCTGGCTTGTAGATCGACCTCCAAACTATCCGTGGTATCGAGGCCCATGAGTCTAAGCAGTTTATGGAATTTTCCAAACGACGCGCTGACCACCGTTAGCGCAGACGGTGGTAGGATAGTACACTATAGAGAGAAATCAATCTCTATCCGACGACAGCTTGTGCATTATTTCGTTAGTGTCGTTAATGTGGGGTCCATTTTGGAGTTCTGATCTCGTTGGTCTCTTGTTGGTTGGCCGCATGGCCCATGGTTAACTTTAGGGCCTCGATTTCCGATTTGTTTTGTGCCCCCTTCTAGGACATAGATCTTGTGTCGATGCTGGACACTGACGTTTAGTAAATTAATATTTAAGGAGAATGATGTGTTATTGTGTGGTTCATCTTTTCGGTAAGCCTGGGTACGGTGATCAATGTTTTTGAAATAATTAATGATAACAGAAAAAGTCGTCAGATAAGACGCCATTGATCGAAGAGAGCAGCCCAATCAGAGCTATCAACGTTCTACCAGCGAGCATTAAAATAGCTATACCCCCCGCACCACCCGTAAACCATCGAATCCACCTAATTCGTACCTTTTGTTAACCGGGTTGGAAAACTTTCAAGTTAGGGGTTAAAATCCTCCCTTTTTATCAAATTAATTATTTTAAAAACATTGTGTAATGACCTTTGCCAGACTCACCAAAAATTTCCGAACCCAATACTTATCGCTTAAATCTTGTTAAAATAACTTTCGCGCATACTTACTCTGTCAGCCACGATTATAAACCAATTATATATGATTGTATTGAATAATTAATAAACAATAAAGTTTAAAAAACAGGCCCGGGGTGACCACGGGGTCCTTCAGTGCCTTTTGGCATTGAGGTTGGCCTGCAAAATATGAACATTTTTATTCACCTTATTAATACATTTTTATTTAAATTAAAGGAAAGATTCTAAACTGTTGGTTATACTTGAAATACATGCCCTTTCCATCTGTAATTGCACTTTAGATTCCCTGCCTAATATCAAAACATTAATTATTTTAGCTACCTTACCAATTAGTACCTGCACAAATGAAAGGTTTTTTTCAACTATAAAAAGGTTAAAAACCTATTTAATAAATACCACCGGTGAAAAACGTTAAAAGGATTAGCCCTATTAAATATTTATAAGGAGATTATTTTAGATAAAAATTTGATTCTAGATGAATTAGAAAAATCTCAGAGAAAAGTAGACCTCTCTTTATAAATTCAAATCAAAAATTGCAATATGATTATATTAGTTTTAATATATAATATATAATAATTTTTTGGTAAAATGAATTCTAAGTTATAACATTTATATAATTTTTGTATTAACTCTTAAAATTTATGCAATTAATACTATTTTCAATCAAAGTACTGTGTATTAATTATATTTTGATAATATCGTTATATTTTTTTAAATAACATTATTTGCATAAGAATTACTTATTTATTACATTTTTTTAAAATAAAGTTTTTATAAAATAAAATTTTTAATATTATAATCTATATAAAATATCTACATTTTGAAATTTATTTTAAATAATAAAAATAAATACATGATTAAATAAAGGAATGTTACTTATGCTAAAGTATTTTTATATAAAAAATAAAATCTATAATGAAATACTCTAATTTGTTATATGCAAATATTTAAAATAATTTCATGCCTAAGATATAAAGCAATTGATTGTTCATATAAAATGGGAGGTTCCATGAGAATATCCTGGCTATGCCACTGTTCTTTATCATATCCCCCTCGAAATATTAAAATATTTTACTGACAAATTTATTATTTAATATAAAATTTGATAAATAAATTTGTTGTTAGAGATTAATTTTCAATATGTTTGATTGTTTTTTAAATATTACATTGAATATTTTTTTAAAATAGCATTTAGCCTATAAGCAAAATTCTGTCACATGAAAGTCCCTTTCCTTCCATTCGTTTTAGTTTTAAATGGAAAAGGAAGAACTTGGTGACTTCCTCATTTGACATTAGTAAAGTAATGAAAATGAAAACGCTTTCACTGAACAATGTATAATAATTTAATACTTTACATCGAGCGTAGATTGAATGGATAACTTGTCCAAAGCATGCTTAACCGCATCTCTGCAATCTGCTAGGTATTTGGCATCTGATAGATATTGATTATCGGACATTACTATAGGTTCATCCATAATAGGACCCCTAGAGAATTCTTCTGGACTATTAAGCTTAAAAAAAATTTGTTTTTCACCGTGGTTGTCTAAATTATTTTGTTGATCTTTTGTATCTGTAATTTGGTTAGCGCCTTTTATGAGATCTTGGTATTCTAAGCTTAGCTTTTCTTTTAATATGTTCTGTTATCGATAAAAAAAAGATGATCAAATATGAATTAGTAAATATGAATTAGTATTATGTTAAAGTAATTAGATAATTCAAGAGATGTACAAATTTTTAATAGCTGGTACTGATACCTCTTTGAAGTAGAATAATAATAATTTTAAGTGTTTTAAATCGATTTCAAAAAAATTGACCTTAATATTGTTTTTATGGTTAGATCCTTTTCCAGTGGGCATTTCGATAATATCCTGATTAACAATTGTTATGTCCTGCGTCGATAACATAGCATTATCGGATACAAGCCTCTTTGAAGAGGTATTAACATTAATTCCGGTTTCGGATATGTGTTTTCTTTTTGGTAAAGTAGCCTGAGAAAGAAGAATGGAATGTTGATTGAATCGTTGGATTAGAGTAAGTGTTTGATTGTTTATGTCGGAGTAGAGATCGAAAATGGGCTAAATTTTATATTAAAATAAAAATTTAGCGACATATTAATTATATAATTACATTATGTAAAAACAAATCAATTTTTTTTTACATAAAGGTAGACTAATTATCGCTTTTGCGCATCATAAAGTGAAGCTATATTATTTGGCTCATATTAAATAAAATTCTAATCGCAACAAATATCGCGATAATTAGATAAATGTTTGAGGGACGGAAGGAGGGATTTTATAGTAATGATAGACTTACGAAATTTAAATTATACAATAAATCTTGTTGCAAAAGTAGTATAATACTTCAAAAATTTCATTATTTCAATTTATATTTTTATGATATATATTACTTCAGAATACACGGTTTCGTCATCAAAGTTTTCTAAATCTAAAAGAGGATTGGGTTCACCTTTCTCGATTTCTTCTTGGACGCCTGGTTTTAATGATATATGTATATTATGTTATGAAATTATTCTAAAATTATAGTGAACCATAAATAAATATGTTAATCCGAGAAATTATAAAGTAAATATTAAGATGAATATTTTTGTAGCTTATATTAAAAAATAGTAACTAATTTATACCTGTCTTCCACTTCACTCCCAAATTCTAAAATTTTTTGGATTCAAATTCCAATTTTTTTACGTTTAAAACTAGATAAGGATATAAGAAAAGATATTTAAGGTATTCGGTGTTTATATTACAATTCTTAATCCCTTTTGCGCAATGCAAAATCTATGCTATTGTGATATCTGATCAAAGTAACCATTTTTATAACAAACAAGGAAACCTAAAAGATTTATAAAAAAAGAATATACTTAAATTGATAATTACTCACATTTAAAATAAACTATGATGTATATATTAAAGCTCTTTATGGACCCGTTGCCAACCAAGTTCGGTCGGATTTTTGAAAAAATGGGCCCGGATAGGTCGGGCATTTAGATTCGATGCATGGCTTCAATACGCTATAAAACAATACACGCACTTTTTTCGTCAATCCTGAGGCATTCGGAAAAAAAGTAGTCTTTGCTATTAGCCGATTGTTTCGTTAGATTTCTGTCCCGGTAAAAATAGTGAGACTGAAAAAATTTTGTCCAAAATTCTATATCCGATATAACGTGAGGCACATGTTCCTCGTGCTTTTGTTTAACTGTAAAAAAAATTAAAAATGTAATAAATAAAGTGTTAGAATAAAATTATGAATGAATGTAAACTTTAAATCTTAATTAGGAATCGAAGCTCTCAGAACGGGCAAATCTAGGAGCCGGAAGCTGAAATTTTCAGAAACACGTCAAATTACCGGAATTTCCAAAAATTTTAAAAACCGGAACCATTTTTTTAAAAAATATTCAGAAACAAAACCTTTTTTGTCCAGGTTATAAACTTTGTTTTAAATGAATATTATAGGATTCTTTCTAACTCCTGATCAATTTACAGAACAAAGGTTTAAATCAGAAACCTACAAGCGCGGACTAAAAAGTGGTATGATTCGTAAAATATTTTAAATCCGAAAGGTTTAAAAAATTATAAATTGCAGGATCAATTTTTTTAAAAAAAATTTAAATTATAATTAATCAGTTGGGAAATCAATATAGTGGAATTTTAAAAATTCTGGACATGTCTGTAAAACGATCAAAAATAAAAATCCGGGTTGGGCCATAAAATTCCGGGCAGGACAATAACGTAAAAATTTTTTCAGATCCGAGCCGGGTTTAAAATGTTGACCCCTATAGGTCTCTAGCTTAATGTTAATCTAATATTTGGTGGCTATAATAAAAACGAATGAAGGGAATCCTAAGTAGGGATGTACAGATATTTTTTATCGGATCGGGCTGATATTTCATCTTTTTTAATATCGGTTATCAGTCAATATTATAAAATTTTCCATGGCGTAGGAAATTTATTACAAATTTGATAATATATATGTATTATGTAAATAAATGTTTATATATGTAGTAATATTATATATATTCTACTTTATATCTTAATGGTCTTTTATTTATAATATATTATCTGTCTGTATATTGTTATGCGGCTATAAATCAAATATTTAAGGTATCGATAATTACAATAGTTATTTATTTTCTTGTTGAAATAATATTCTAATGTTTTTTATATCCAATTAACTTTTACCAAAAGATATATATATACTTATGAATTGTGATAAAGATTATTATTTTATTACTTAAATAAATCTCTTTAATTCTTGTCTAACTCGATCCTTAAAATCCCTATATGGTGGATGATAGGGGAACCAGCTTAGTGCGCTGGTGGGGAAGGAGCTACATATAATTACTTTCGCTCGCATGGTATGGAAAACGACGCATGGTATGTTACCAAAGATGAAGAGTCGTTTATTAAAAGAAAAATTAATGATGGACAAGATATGAAAACAATTGCCGTATATTCCTGCGCTCAATTGAATGGTATTTAGGACGAAGAGCTGCGTTTAAAAACATTGTAATTACACATTATTTTACATTCAAAAATTCGTGCTTTTAATTTTTTGTCAAGTATTTAGATTAATTATAAATCATTTTAATTTTTTTGACAAGCATTTAAATTAATAATAGACATAATTTATTTTAATAACAATTTTTAGTATAATAATATTATTAACTGGTAAGTGTAATGTAATATATAATGTTAATCCATTTTAGGATATTATATGATTAATTACATTTATTTAGTTTAATAAAGCCTGTTAATAATGTAATATTTAAAGTTAATCCATTATTAGAATTATGATTACAATTAGAAGTCTGCATTGGGCGTCTCGGTCGGCCCGCCCATCTAAGTGGGCAGGCGGGTGGGTGGGCAAAAAATGGGCAGGCGGGTGGGTGGGCAAAAAATGAGCAGGCGGGCGGGATAAAAAATTTTAAACTATGAGCGGGTGGGTGGGCGGCTAAAAAATTTAAACAATGGGCAAGCGGGTTAAAAAAATTTAAAATAATTTAAGTAAATATTCATAAAAAATTGTTCCTATGAACTTTTTGGATATTAAAAAATATTTTTTTGTATCATAAAAACTTTTTTCTTAAAATAAATAAACTTTTTTGTATATTAAAACTACTTTGGTGGAAACGACAAGAAAGAGATTTGCCAAAGCTATCAAAATTAGCAAGAAAAATATTGGCAATTCCTGCAACTAGTGCTTCTTCTGAACGAGGATTTAGCATTGCTGGAAGGTTTTTAGAACAAAGAAGAACGTGTTTGAATCCAGGAAATGTCAATTCATTATTATTGCATTATAATTACATATAATATCAATTTTATATATTTTTTCATAAATATTTTATTTGATCAAATAAATTATCCATAATTTAAATTGAATATTTTTTTATGCTTAATATAGTAATTTCCTAAATTATAAAACTTTTTGTAGAGATGTAATGCTGAATTTTTTTTATTAGATGCTTAAAAAATTGAAAGAATGGCCATAATTAAATTTAATAATAGCAAGCTTGGGTTAAAAAATTTTTGTAAATAATGGGTGGGCGGGTAAAAAATTTTAAACTAATAGGCGGCCGGGCGGGTAAGGAATTTTAGGCTAATGAGCGGGAGGAGGGTATATTTTTTCTTCATTGGGCTTATGGTCCAAAAACCCGCCCAATGTAGACCTCTAATTACAATTATACGGTCAATAAGCCCCGTATAGTGAAAATTATAGTTTTTTAAGTTAAAATTATAATTACGAGACTAGTATGGAGAGTTATATTGATCCCCCCCCCACCCTTTTTTTATGAATTGTTGGCATATTATTATTATTTCATCCTTTTACCTATATAACATACTTTTTTTCTCTCTCTTTTTTTAAATTTTATTCGATGCATGTAGTAATACTATATATATTTTACTTCATATTTTAATGGTCTTTATATTTAAAGTATCGATAATTGTAAAAGTTTATTTTCTTGTTGAAATAATATTCAAATGTTTTGTATATCCAATTAACTTTTATCGAAAGATATATACACTTATAAATTGTGATAAAGATTATTATTTTATTATTTAAATAAATATTTTTGTTCTTAATTCGATCCTTAAAATCCCTACAATATAAATAAGTGATTTATCTATAAAAATATTTTATATACTTTTAGATTCATGAATATAAACTATAACTGATCATTATAATATATTTAAATGACTTATGTTATGGTATAGTTAAATTATAGATGTTATTCAATTAAAAAGTATATGATGAGTAGATATATATAGTGATGTAAAATAACTCCATTTGAGCCGATTTTTAAAAAACAATTACTCAATAATTTAGCCAAAAAAATATTGCCTAAATCTCGAGATTTCGTTAATAGATGTCCCCTTCGTGTCATCTATGATCAAAGTCTTCAGGCTTGCGTAATATTTTTCTGGATAAAATTGTGAGCTCGCCGTTTTAAATAATTGACTCAAATGGACAATTTTGCAACACTAGATGTATGCATTAAAAATTAAAAAGATTAGTATGTTTACAGAATACAAAATCAGATATGATATCGGATCGGTAATCGGTCGATATCAATTTAATATCGAATCGACCTTCAAAAAGTATAGAACCTTATAAAGAAAATCTAAATAGTGAGTGAGTTAGCTTACTTTTTTTTAAATATAAAGATGATTTTTTTATTTAAAAAAATAATAAAAGGTTCAATGTAAAAGGGTGGTTCCATGTAAAATCGCTAAAAGTTTAGTACAAAATTTAATCTAAATTTTAAAGTGAGCCTAAAAATATACAGAGATATTGGCCTAAGTCCAAAAGTACGGTATGTTGATTTTATTAAATCTTTATTGATTAAAATTTTTATTTTTTCGTTAAATCTTTTACATTTTTAGTGATAATAAATAAAGAATATATGAAATATTGTCCTAAAGTAATGAAGCTAAGCAAATTGAATTATATTGAGTGACCATATGTAAGAGTACCAACATAGTTAAGCTGCATTGAAAAGATAATTTTTATATAAGGTTAGTGCAAGTAAAGGTAAACCACAAGCTCAATATTTGTATCATGCACTTTAAATAATAACTATTGCTAAGAACATTTTATTATAAAATTTATTTTTATTAATAATGATAAGTGTATCAGAGACCTGCAGAAATACCATTTGCACAGTCCGGTCAGGATTTTTTTTGGCCTGGTCCGGATTTTTTAAAAATATATATTTATTTTAGTTTTTATAGCTAAAATATTTGGTTTTAAAATATGCGGCCCGGCCCGGGTATCTTTTTCAAGAAAAAATCAGGCCCCGGGTATATTTAAAAGAATTAAAATACGGCCTGGCCCGTGTACCTGGGCCTAAAGGTTGCCGATGTATACTAAGAAGGAATAAATAAAATTCATATCCATGAATTATCATTTAAGGTTAGATATTAAATTCTTATGAATTTAGTGACAAGCACTCTTTTAATTTATAGAAGGAGTACGGTTTCGCTTTTTTGTTAATGTATTCTACGTGAAAACATCCTTTCACTTACAACTGATGTTGTTTGATGTGATAAGAAATCCTTTTTTCGTCATTGATAATTTAGCAAAGCGGTTGGAAACTGCAAACATAATGGTTCAAAGGATTCGTCGGGCGAGGAAATGGACGATTATATTGGAGAAAATGTTGCAAAATCAACAATTAACGTTTGGATTGGTGTAATTCTAATTCCAACCGCTTTCTTAAATTAGCAATGATGGCAAAAGGTTTTTTTTTATAACATCAAACAGCATCAGTGATGTGTGAAAGAATGTTTTCACGTGCTAGAGATACAATAGAAACCTACCATTGTCCGGCACGGCCCGAATTTTTTTTAAAAAAATTTTCGGCTCGGTTTGGGTTTTATATTTTTAGGCCCAGCCCGTTTATAAAAAAAAATCAGGGACGAGAACCCGAACCCAAACCTTCAATATTTAGATGAACCCAAATCCCATACCCTTTTCTTAAATTTAGGGTTCATACTTCTTTTTTTTAATTTTAAAATTTATTTTTTTTATTCTAAACTTTTATTTTATTTATTTTAAATTATATGTTAAAAATAATATAATATAAAAACATGTAATTTACGATTTTTATTTATAAAAGAGTTCTTATTTAAAACAAACATTTTTTGATCATTTTTTCGTGGAATTATTTTTGTTATATTAAATAGTCGGCCATTTTTCGTAAAAATTTTTAAAATAGAAATATATGTGTTGTAAATATATTATATATTATAATTATGATGATAAATTATTTTTATGGCGATACTAATTAAATTTTTAAAAAATATGATGTTTCTATTATTTTAACTATTTTAATAGGTCATTATTTTTCTGGTCTCCGAACCCTGAACCCACCTGAACCCGAACCGGGAGAGATTTTTCACTGAACCCAAACCCGAATTTATTTTTAAGAAGGAGGGTTCTCGCCCCTGAAAAAAATTCTTTAGGCCTGGCGGCCTAGGTATATTTAAAAAATTAAAATACGTGCAGATCTCTCTGATACATTTAAGCAATCGTACTTCATCGAGAACAAGAATGTTTGTCAATAATAAAATTTATGTTTCATTCGTTTTAACAGGTTGTCGGAAAATCTCGTTTTGGGGATGATTTGTAATACAATGCCCCTATAAAAATTTTACGCCCCTCTCAATTGAGATAGATTTTCAAAATTCTAACCTGAAGGATATATCCTGAATATCGAATCTATGATATCTGATGTCAAATTATATTTTATTCCGTTGGCGCCGTCAGATTGAGGTGTCAAGTCGGAAAGGAAGGAGGCACTAACCCCTATTAATTGCTTATGACTTCGGATTATATTTGAGTCCACATTTTCTGTCTTATTCAGTTGTTCGTTATCCAAAGATTTTTGATATTTAGATACGTAATTTCCCCAAAATTCTTCGGGGGTAATAATCTGTAAAAAAAATAATATGTATGCACAAATAATACTTAAAAGATAATTAAGCAAAAATAAATCATGATTGAAAAAGAGAAATGATATAATAAAATGTATCAATCATAAAATTATATTTAGTAAATTACAATTGAACTTCTAACTCCTCTCAAAAAATAGGGATAAAAAAAATTTATATTGAATGAGACACTTTAACGCGTTTACTAATAGACAAAAAATTATTCATTTTTTATAAAATGAGAGAAATAGGGGAATATTTGTTTTACCTGGGTAACGACAAGCTCCTTGTATAGCGTAAATAATTGAGGATTTTTTTGTAACAACAAGTTTTTTTTTTCCAATTGAGCATCGACCTGTTTCCTGAATCGAGGCAGTAACTGTTGCAAGAGATCTTTGACTCTCAGTCGATCCTGTAATTGTCTTTCCGTGCCCTCCGGAGAATTGAAATGAAAATTGGAGGTTTCCCCACTATGCAAAACTATTTGTAGTTGAATTTTCACCTTACCTTCAGGCGAAATCTTTTGAGCTTGTTATAAGCAAAGGATAAAATAAAAATCATTTATCATATAATATTAAATTATTAATATTCAATGGAAAATAAAAATTGCACATTTTTAATACCATAATGTTTAATGCATGAACATTATTCATTATAAGCGGGTGTTTTATAGGTTATGTCAAGGATTGACTGGATAGGCCAGTTTACATCTATATCTGATTCCTCCAACTTCTATAATTGTACATTTATGAAAAGGAGCGAGGAGCGATATAGTGGTAATCAAGAGATCTGCAAAGCCCAGCTTCTGTCCAAAATCTAGACCCGAGAGCCGGGCAAATTTTAAAAAATAAATTATGAAGGGTTGGACAATTTTTATTAAAAAAATTCAGGCCGGGACAATTTATACATAAAAAATCAGGCAGGGCCTCGCAAATCTGTTCTTTCATAAAATTTTATTATGATAGCCCGGGAATTTAAATTTAAATGTTATATTTTTTTGAATTTCAAACAATATTTTGACTAATACTAGCTTATTTCTTTGTATTTTAAAAGCTATCTACTAAATATATAAATAATTAAGGATGTATTTTTTTATCAGATCGGATCGGGCCGATATTTCATCCTTTTAAAATATCGGCTATCGACTGATATTATAAAATTTTCCGATCAGATAAAATAGCGTTTTAATTTTATAAAATATGTCTATTAAAATGAGATGATATAAAAATTTTTAGTATCTAAAAACCATTCATTTTTTAAATAAGATAAAAATCTATTTTAATATTATTTAAATATATATTTCAAATTTCATATTATATTTGTTTATTACTTATTATGTAAATAGATTAATTTTATTATAAGTGATTTATCAATAAAAATATTTTAAATACTTTTAGATTCATGAATATAAACTATAACATAACATTATACTCTATTTAATAAGATTTTATACTATTAAAAAGATGGGATGAGTAGATGCATGTATTAGAAATTAAAACGATTAGTATGTTTACATAGATAATTAGATATAATATTGGATTGGTAATCGGCCGATATCAATTTAATATCGGATCGACATCCAAAAAGTGGTATCATTACACCCCTAATAATAATTATAAGAAATATATAAATTTTAATATCCAATAATTCTTTTTGTACTTAATATTTAAAATTTTACCATTTTTTATAAAATTTTGGCATAAGTTATAATTATCTCAATATTTTTTATCTAAGCATAGTAAATCAAAATAAACCAATATTTTATAGTTTAAGGTTAGTTCTATCTTATAAAAATTATTCATTTGAAATCTGGGGCATTTATGACATTTTTTTCATAAGATTATTGAAAGGTGAAATATCAATATCAATTAATACAATATAATGAGGAAATATAAAATAATTAATAATTATAATACTGAATATTTTCTTTATAAAGATAGGAGTCTCAAATTTATATGATAAGTTTCTACTAAGAAGACTATCTATATCATCAGCTAAAATACCTAAGTTCAAGGTTTATCAAAGTTGGAAACCTTTGAGCAATAACCTTCCAAAAATCAAGAGGAACAATTGGAGATAAAATATTGATATGTTCGTTAATTAATCAATAAGGATTTACAAGAAATGAAAATTAATTCAAAAATAAATAAAAATGTGTGTAAAAATAAAATTATGTAAGTTTATAAAAACGTATCAGTTGATCCAATATTTTTTCAAAAAGTCTAATAACTGCACCAATTCCATACCAATATTTAATATCAGTATAGCCCTAATATTTTTCAGTAAAGTATATAGTATGTGAAAAATTAATCATGATTAAGTTAAGAAGTTTGTGAGTTATAAGTTTTTTGGAGCTTGGGTCCATAAAAACCTTTTGAGTCATGCATTAACTTTTTTCATGTTTTAGTTTTGATATATTAACTATAAAATAAAAAGAATAAAAATTCTATTATATTTGAATCTTAATTATTATATAGCATCATCAATTTTATTGATATATTTTTTTATATCATACTGTGGCATTTTAAAATAATTTTCCACTTTTTTAATCTCTTTGGCTGTCATAAATTTTGAAATTAGTTAGTAATAAAATTGTGTTTATTTAATATATATTTATAATATAAAAGCTATAAATTAATTTTATTTTGAGATATACCATATCTAAATTGGGGTCTAAGTGAATCTTACCTAGGGTTACCAGATCTTGCAGAGTGGAAAAGAGAACATATTTATTTTATGTATTATATTAAAATCAGGCAAAAAAATTTAATTGATTTTATTTTTATTAGATATATCAATAATATTAAATAAAAAAATTATATATTTTGTATAATATTATATTTTTCACTTGCCAATATTTTTCTTAATTATTTATAAAAAAACTTGGCATAAAATTGATATAAAATTATATTGTATACATATAATTGCTTTTATAGATTCGACTGATAATATATTCCTCTCATTTGTCCATTGACTATATATTAAAGAAAATATTCTTTCAACATTAGCATTATGAGCTAATATAACAAAAATAAAGCTTGCTAAAATTAGCAGTTCATGGTGTTGCTTAAGAATTAAAATATCTAAGAAATATTAAACCCATTTCTGATATAGAGAAAGTTTTGTATATTCTTCACAATTCATTTTATTAATAATATATAATTTAAGGTTGCAGAATTGTCAAATTACTTATTTTTCAAGAAATTGATAGAGTTCTCTAACTGACCATTTTTAATTTCCATACATTGGAAACATTCCTTCTAAAGGTTATGACCAAAGATCTAAATATTCAATGCAACATCTATAATATTAATAAATTCTCTTTCATTGCATCTAGTTGGATTTTTTGTCCCATTATAATATTTAACTCAAATATTGATTTTACTTTTAATAGAAAAAATTTTCTTTCAGCTAACAAATGTTTTAATGATTTTTAATGGTTTAACATTTTTATAACTGTATTATTTTCTTCCTTAACTAATTTTATTTTTTTATCAAACACATATACATCAAGGAATGGGCAAACTCCAAATATGCTTCATTTTATCATTTTTAAAAATTTTATGATAATATATGGTGGATTGTTAATAGAAAGTACATTAATGTTTCATACATTTCAAGAAATCATAAATAGAAAAAGAGCTATCATGTTATTGAGTGATAAAGAAGTTGTTTATAACCAAGCTCTACAAATTCACAAAACTCTTTAAGCTCGTCAGTTCTGACAATATAAATTGAAAAGTAATTGTCGACTTTCATAACAAAACTCTCCAAATCTATTGATAGGTCATCAAATCCAAACAGAATGTCATTGTGTAATATATGGGCAGAACAACTCACTCCAATTTACTATTTAATCCAGAATTTTTTAGTTTGTAGAAAACATTATTTATAGCTCACTGTCTTATACCAAAATTTGCATTACAATTGTCTCCAGAAAAGACAATCAATTTAGATGTTAAAATATTTTTGTCCAATTGTATATTGATATATCTAAAATTGATGCGTTTCTTTGTTAAAATACTGAATCAAAATGGAAAATATTTATAGATTTCCATGATTACCAAAATCTGTCAAAATGGAAATATAATTTGTTTTTGATATATTGTTTAAAGCATAATCTAAAGAAAATAATTTTTATGAACAAAATTTCAGTGAATGACCTGATAGTGGAAAATTTTTTATAGGACATATTTAATAGAAAATAGATACCAGACATGTATTTTTAGCATCCAAAAAGAGGACATCTGGTAAGCCTAATCCAACTTAGACTTTCATGTAATTTTTTCCACCAGTGTGATGAGTCTTACTTAACTTTGATATTTTTTAAATATCTATTTAATTAGTTTAACATTTTGTTACCTTAAATTTACCACAATATATTTAAAATAACATAACATATTTGTATTTCAAATATATTAATAATAATAACTTTTAATATCTGAATATTTATAGCTAACAGAAAAATTTTGAGATTTTTCCATTGACCATGCCATACGCTCTGACATAATGTATAAAGATCCGTCAACTTTTTTATGTCGAACATGGGTTATCAAGGCATACACTTCTTCGGAAGATTTCATTCTTCACAATTCCTGCATGAATATAATAGTTTTGATAATATTATAAGATTGATTAGCCAATTGTGACAGGTTTAAATAGTGATATTTGATTAGATACAATATCAATATTATATGATGGATATAATTCATGTAATAGAGAACTGTAAGAATCAAATATTTATATATAGTGAAAATAAAAAAAGCCGCCAAACCTAAGATTTATACATGGGAGGCAGTGGCATATCCAGAATTTTCATTTTCTTATGGGGGTGGGGGGGGTGGGGGGGGGGGAAGAAATTCTTTTTGGGGGCTTCGCCCCTAAACCCCTTTATCTGGCCTTCGGCCAGGCCTTATGTTATAGCTATTCTATAAAATTATTCATAATTTAATAATAATTATATTTTTATTTTTTACTATTATTTACTAATTCGTGCTTATGGATATTACAAACCTATTTTTTATTTTAAGTTAAGTATATTATATTTATTAAAGTTTTTTTAAATGAAATATAGTTTAATGTCATTTTTATAAAATTTGCTTTAAAAACTAGCCTCAGCTTAAATTCTCTTACAATATAAGTAGAATATAAATTTTTTATTGAAAATACTAATAGTAGTGTGTATAAAATATTGACTAGAAAATAATTTAAAAAACAAGTTTTTTTTAACTTCTTATCAAATACAATATTATACAAAAAAATTTATTAAATACTATAATTATAATGTGATTTTTAATTTTCGTGGGATTGCCAATTCATCAAGAATTTCGTTTGTCGTTGAAACCAAATCTCTGTGGATATTTAACAGCATTAACCCATTTAGCCAAGATTCGGAAGTTGTACTTCGTAAATATGTTTTCAACCTTCTCAAGTTGGAAAAAGTCCTTTCATTCGTACATGTGGTAATAGGCAAACATGCAAGAATATAAAACAACTTCAAAATATTAATAAATTGAGCCAAGGTTTCTTTACACCTATTGAGCACATCAATAGCATGCTCAGGTAAAATAGCTAAACGTAAATATTTATACCACTATTCAAATTCACTGAATAAATTTATTTCAGTATCAATATCATAGGAATAAAATTCTGCAAAATATTTAATTTTACCAATAGTGGCATTAGAAAATGAAGAAGGATCTTTGGGTAATAAAACTTGATGAAGATTGCTAAAGACTTGTTTTTCATCTAAAAGCCATACATTTATTTGCGATAAAGAGTATCTAAGAATAGGATGATAATGGATATTTTATAATATTCTTCAGTTGAGCCAATATTTATTTTACATCTCAATAATTGCCTAGGTGCTAGACGAGGTTTAATTAGTGTTATATCATAAAATTTAGCCTTCGATTCAACGTCTAGATAAATATTATGAAAATATTAATCTACATTCATATTTATTGTATCTACCTGTTCATATATATTTTCCGCCAAATCAATAACCTGAACCAAATCTAAATTTGGTTTTTCTAAATTTATACAAAGTAGTGAGCTACAGGAAAATAATTTATTGATGCTACTAGCAGCAATGATAAACTCTGATTGATCAATTAAATTCAATAATGATATCGCTTCTGACGACACATTACTTTTTTTCATGCTCAGCCTTATTTAACTTTTGTATATTTCTTCTGTTCTACAAAATGGAAGTAAAAATGAAAAATATTTAAAAAATTATAGATATTTATTAATAATTAAAATATTATTAAAAATACTTATTAATTCTAACTTACTAATATTTTTGAATTTAATAAAATAAATTACCGTTTGATTTCAATCTCTTTGACTAAAAATTTTTCCATTTTATTAATATTTTTTAATAACTAGGGGATTAAATACTTGTATTTAAATTGAAAATTTTAAAAAAATCTATAAAATGGAAGAAATATCATCCAAATTCCCAATTTGATTCCCAAAACTGGGATTTTGGATGATATTTCTTCCATTTTAGCGATTTTTTTTAAATTTTCAATTTAAATACAAGTGTTTAGTCCCCTAGTATCTATTAATATTAATTTCAAATTCACTTTAAAAAATTTCTAGGAGATATAAGCCATGTTCCCAATTTTTAGCGATTTTTGTTTTAGCGATTTTTGTTTTAGCGATTTAGAACCTATCCCTTATTAGAAGATATCATGTTAATGCGTTTAAATAAAAAAATCTATGCATGACTATGCTTTGTATTTTTAAATATATTTTGCCTATAAATAATAAAATATAAATTTTATTAAATATATAATTTTTTTTTATATACGATTAAATATTCTTATACCCCGAAACCAAGCAAGAGTTCAAAAATATTCCCTTGAACCAAACTGAACCCATTCAATTTTTTTTACCTTGAACTGAACCTAACCCGATTAATTTTTTTTACTGGGTTCGCCCTTGCAAAAAAGTATCTAGCTGGTTGGGCAATATTTGGGGTTTTATCATTGTTGTTTTTTTCCCCAAAAAATTAATAATCTCAATCAATTAAAATATGTGGAATATTTATGCATTCTCAGGGGGCTCATCATTTTTTAAAATTGATTTCAAAATTAAATTGTTTTAAAATCCAACATGATCCAATTACCTTCTTTTTTTTTTAAGCTAACATTATCAAAAACTGCCTTTTTTTAAGCTAACAAATCCAAAATTTTCATATTAAATTTTTAGCTAACATTATCAAAATTACAATTGGTATTAAAACGAAATTTCAGAATTTTGAGGGATATTTAATTTCGGCACCTACCTATTTTTTATATACAACAAGCCAACCTAGTTAAAAAGCGCAATTAGATATTTTTGAAAATATGGGAATATACTACTTTATAAAACTCGATTTATATAAATATCTTAAATTATTTAATTAGATATGTTGCGTTATAATCTAATTCTTTTTGTTTTTTGCATTTGAATTTTTTGTAATCTAATTATTATTATTTTTTGTAATTTAATTTTATAACTTTTTAACTTTCGGCGTAACCTTACTTTTTATATTTTATAATATATTTACTTTTTGTTTTTCGTTTGTATTCTAATTTATATTTATAGAAAATGTATATATACCTTAAGAAAAGAAAAAGAAATTAGTTAATAAAATATATTTTTACTGACTCGAACCTCGCGCCATATCGTTAAGATCCTTATTCTTTGCATGGTGCCCTGGCTCTGGGTGGTGGACTAGAAAAAGATGACTACCTAATCTTCTGAGATGACTATCTAACCTATGGAGACTGCTTAACCTATGGAGATGACTACCTATTATGACTACCTTATCTATTGTGACTACCTAATCTTCTGAGATGACTATCTAACCTATGGAGACTGCTTAACCTATGGAGATGACTACCTATTATGACTACCTTATCTATTGTGACTACCTAATCTTCTGAGATGACTATCTAACCTATGGAGACTGCTTAACCTATGGAGATGACTACCTATTATGACTACCTTATCTATTGTGACTACCTAATCTTCTGAGATGACTATCTAACCTATGGAGACTGCTTAACCTATGGAGATGACTACCTATTATGACTACCTTATCTATTGTGACTGCCTAATCTATTGATATGACCAATGCCTAATCTACTGAGATGACTATCTAACCTATGGAGACTGCTTAACCTATGGAGATGACTACCTATTATGACTACCTTATTTATTGTGACTGCCTAATCTATTGATATGACCAATGCCTAATCTATGGAGATGACCAAGAATCAAACCTTAGCACGTTCTTTCATGCAAAAAGTTTCTTTCTTCATGGTGTCCTGGCTCTGGATGTTGGACTGGAATATGATAACCAGCACCTAACCTAATGTGACAACCTAGAAAGAACTGATATGGAAGTTGAACGATAGGTTATGAATTCTATTTTGTGAGACCAATGATGATTACTTATTATTCTAATCCACGTAAGAAGAAAAGTTATTAAAAATTAAGATTTTATGCCAGGATAAAGGCATATTATAAATTTTTAAAATCACTAAAATTTAAAATCATAATGATGATAAAAATGTTTTTGAAATAAAGCTTTTGAAGATTAGATAAATATTTAAATGATGTGATGAGATCATTTTCTAAAAATTATCTTATGAAGAATTTTTTGAATTAAAACTAGGGTGTGAAATTTAAATTTTTTATTTAAAGAGAGGGAAATGTGAATAATATTTTATTTGCATATTTTAACCTCGGAGATTGAAAATAAATAAAAATAAATTAAATACTAAAACGCAAAAATTAATTAAACACTAAAACGCGAAAAAATAAAAGTCATTAAAACGCGAAAAATTAAAACGCTAAAAATATAACAAATCTTATTGATTTATCATTTCTTCACTTAATTTTATATTTTGATGAACTATTATTTCTTATTATTCGCAACTTACTGATGATAATAATGATTTTGAAAAATGATAATAATATCAACGTCATGATTTGTAAAACATTCGATATGGATATCAAGCTCACGATTTAAACAAAAACGAACAAACATCGATTTAAACAAACCAACGATTGGGACAAGCCAACGTTATGATGATTTGTGATACAACTTGATTACCAAAACGATAAACCACTTGGACAACAAACTCTCTATGACTTCTCCGATGAAATTATCAGAAGAGGGAGAATGTTGCGTTATAATCTAATTCTTTTTGTTTTTTGCATTTGAATTTTTTGTAATCTAATTTTTATTATTTTTTGTAATTTAATTTTATAACTTTTTAACTTTCGGCGTAGCCTTACTTTTTATATTTTATAATATATTTACTTTTTGTTTTTCGTTTGTATTCTAATTTATATTTATAGAAAATATATATATACCTTAAGAAAAGAAAAAGAAATTAGTTAATAAAATATATTTTTACTGACTCGAACCTCGCGCCATATCGTTAGTGTCCTCCTTATTCTTTTCAAGATATTTTGAACCAAATTGTTACTTATTATTTATTCGCTTCATTTTTTAAATTCAAATGATAAAACTTTTTATAAAAATCACGGAAGAAGATATCGTGTTAATAATTTCATTTTTTTAAAATATTTAATCTCAGTACCCAGC